TAAAGTCATTCAGATTGTAAAAGTTAACGTATGAAACTAATCTGTATTCTATTTTAATGATTTCTTTGAATTTGAATTGCAAAATTAAGTGCAGAATTTAAATTTGCAATTTCTTTTCATGTATATTAAAAAAAGAGTAAATAAAGAAATTTGTCAAAAACATTGAAAGACCAGTAAATGTGTTATATTTGCTTTTATAATGAACTTTAACAAAATCATCTCCAGCCAAACCTGTTATTAAGAATTAACTTTACATTAATGTAACTAAACATTTTATCGAAAAACATGAACTAGTTTTCAAGCAACCAAAAATTAAACAAAAACTAAAAACAGTATATTAAGTTGCAATGTTAACTGAATAAAATTATTATTTAAATCTAAGGATCTTTTAGTTGAGTAGATTTAAATTTTTCTTCTGCTTATCCTTAAGAAATAAAAGTAATAGTGTAACAATCTAAAACGTTAAAAAAAAATTTTACATTGCCACAAAACAAATTATAAATAGTTACCAAATATTTAACTTTCTTGTTAGAAGCAAATCATGCTTTCTTATTTAGGACTCAGGGGGAAAAAATTAAGTTTTTTTGAAGAAAAAAACGAGGTTTTCATCAAAAACCCAGTAAATCCCAAGTGTTTGATGAAAAATCTAGGTGGGCTGGGATTTTTCAAACCCTGTTTCTTACAAATCTGTTTAATTTTTAGTAGAATCATGAATTTTAAAAAATTTTATGCTCTCTACAAATTTACAGTTACTTATTACACATTGAGATATTATACAAATGTATTTAATTCTTCAAGATTTTAGAAAATAGTTTTCGTAAAGGATTTTAGTTCAAAAATTTCCTAAAATGCTTTAACCTCGATGTGTGGTCTAATTCTAAGTGATAAAAGAACAACATTTTGTTTTAAAAATTTAAACTGAAAAATTGTTCCAATCAACTTATAGTGATGCTAAAAAATTAAGGACTTTGACAAACCTTGAGCCAAAATTAAGTACTTTTAAGGGCCTTTATTTTTCAAAATAAAAATTAAGCAGTTTTTAAGGACCGGAGAACCCTGTCATAAAAGGCCCCCAAATAAAGACATGCCCATGGCCCCTAAAAACAGCTCTACTTCTAAAATTGGAAACTTGCCCTCAATATCGACAAAACTCAGTCAGTGCTATTCACCAGAAAAAGAAGCTACAAGAAGAATGAAATCATTGATTACAATTTCTCATTCAGATGGGAAATGAAGGAAGGCTACGTACTTAGGTGTCATTATGGATAAAAATCTGACATTCAAATATAATTTTAAAAACATTAAAAATAAATTCATAGCTGAAAAATGTGCACTTCATCCGATTCAAAAAAAGAAATCCCCCCTCAGCATAATAAACAGGATTCTAATTTTTAAAATGCTTCTCACCTCCCTATTAACATATGTAGCACCCGCCTTCGGGTGGGGGGCTGCAAAGACAAATCTTAAACTCTTACAAGGTGCTTGTAAAAAAAACCTCAGCAATATCACAAATTCACCCTGGTATTTCAGGAACAAAAATATCCGTAACGACACCTGTATGCCTAGCCTTCTTGACCTATACAAAAATAGATCTCATAAGTAATTCCTTAAGAGCACTGGACCAACCCCCTTACATGGTCTTCCTCTAACTACAACCCAGATGACCCTAATTGCAGGAGATAGTCTAAGAAGACCATCCTCCATTATTATAAAAATCTTCAAGACATCGTCTGAGTCGTACAGTCCCCTGACTGGCTCCTAATTTCCTCGATCATTACCTTTTTCCACCTGCTTGGGTTGACCCCACCCTGCCCGGAATTGCTGTCACTCATTTTGAATCAATTCACTAATACAACTACTAATCACTAACTATTTATTGGTTAAAAATTATATATATATAAATATATATATATATAAATGATTATGTTATTACATATTTGTATTATCCCTGTTTTGTGCTGTCCTTTCTATCTTCTCTTTCCACAATATTATTTAACTATCTAATATTAAGTTTACTAACCCAAACAATTTTAACATCAATGGCCTTTGATTCAGTTTGTAATCATATCATTCACAGGGTTGGCCTTTTTGGCCAGGTACTCCGATGCACCTATTACTAGTTTCCGCTGTATGCCAGTGTGTGGTTTCAGTTACAGTAGTAACTCTATTTAATATATATATATATCAATTATTTGCAACCAAAGTTTACAGATTATTTGCAACTTTTATTTTGTTTACTCAAGCAACTACTTTTTATCATAAAAGCACATATTTACCGACCACATTGCAGACGTAAAATATTGTCAGTGGTAGACGGATCATGGGTAAGAATCCCCTTGCCGTCAGACTAACTGTGGGAGGTTTTTGTGGTTTTCTTCCCCATGTAACGCAAATGTGGGTTAGTTTTACAAAAAGTCTCAATGAAGGCAAATTTCTCCAAATGCTTGATCAAAGAGTTCACTTGTCTTCTGGATTGGGTTCTAAATTACAAGGCTACAGAGCTGAACATAGGATCGACTGTTCAACAACGGTTATAACTATGAATATAGCAGATAAACTAGCCAAGTTAGACACAAGTGAGGAACCTTTGATACTCAAGAAGAAAGACCTGCATTGGTATTTCTTGGAAGCAACCACCAGTGCATCCATGGTATAGAAGTTCAGGTACTGCCTTAAAGTTCGAGGAGAACAGAAAAGACTTTAACATGTTTCATTTATGACCACTTAAGGACCACCAGATTCTCATGCGGTAGCAAGAAGTTAAGAGATTTTTACAAAGTGCAATACGAACTCCACAACATCTGCTAACTTACGTTGCCTTGGTGCGGGATGACTTTTTAAAGCAACCAGGCACAGTGCTGAGAGCGAACAAACTCATGGATCTAATCTGATTCAGATTAGAAGGCTAAGAAAGAAGAAGACAATAATATAATATAATTTAGGCAATTGTATTCTAACCCTTCCTTCAAGAATGACTGAACTTTAATACAACTACAACTGAATAAATATGCATTTTAGAAAAAAATAATAATAAACTATTATTTCATGTGACTTTGTTCTTAATACCTTCAAAACTTTATAAACAATGATTTTGAATTTCTATCTGTAGGAAAAAAAAGATGACAAAAAAGAAAAAATAATTAAAAATTATAACTTCTTTTATTGATAAATACAATTTCACAATTTCAATCAATCAAAGCTAAAAAAAATAAATAAATTTTATGAGAACCATTTACGTTTTATAACTACAATAACAATTTTGTTCATAATGAAACACAGCTGATAAGTACAAAATTTTTCTCAACAAAAATAAAATTAATCTAAAGCCACTAACTTTTTATCGTGAAATTTCACTATGACATTAAAAAGCAATAAAATTTGTTTATCTGACATTTAATTGGGCATTTATTATTATTGCTCTGAATAAAAGCATGTTTTATTTCTAGAATTCCACTGACAATGCTTCTTCAATATTTAGCATTTTAAGCAAGTTTTATAAAATCAAAAGCGTAATTTGATTCTGCCCCACCCCTCCAATACACATACTTTACAATATAGATAATTTGGACTCATAGAAAATGTTTATTTAATGACAAAACAAATATTTATTAAAAAATTGATGAAAAGAATATATAAGATTTGGCCTTAATTTAAATAGGAAATTAAATATAAATATAGTTATTAATGAGTTTAGATATTTTTGATTTGAATTGATTGAAAAAGTGCAGTTCTAAAAATAAGATCATGTAAAAAATTTTAATGGTCAGTTTTTTCATGGTCTTCACCTTAACTGAAATTCCTATCTTGTGTTTCTATAATATTTTTGACCAAGCTATTTTTTTCGAAGTTATATAATGAATATTTTTGCAAATAGTATTTCATTTATAGTTTTATAGAAGTAACATAAAGTGAAACTTCGATTAAACGAACAATATTTGAGGCATAATATCAGTAAGGATTATTGACTTTGCTTTGGATTAGTAAGGATATACTGCACTTTATGTTTTTACTACATTTACCTTACAACAGGGTTGGAGTTTTTGCCGGCAAAACGGGTTTTTGCCAGGACAGAGGCAAAAACCTGGTAAAAACCGGCAAAACCAAATTATCTAAATTGCTGATCAAATACTATTACAAAATACTACAAACAAATTTAAATCAATCATAAGGAATAATAATTTTGATACATTACATGAAAAAATTATTTTTGACATATTAATAATTAATATAAGGGTAATAATTTTTAAAAGATTGAAAGTTTTTGACCTCTTTTCATTTTAGAATCCTTAAATAAATGTTTTTTTACAAATAAATAAATATTATTATTTGTATAATATTATTATTTATTATAAAAAATTATTATTTGTACAATAATTAACTACTCATGTTGATAGATATTTTATGCTTTAAATTATAGTTATATTAATTTAAAATATGTTCATTTCACTGGAAAAAAGAGAATAATTACAAATTTCCCAATCAATAATGTTTTAAACTACTAAAATGATATATTATTTACATTATGATTTAATAATGGAATAATAATTTTATAATTTTTTGTAATTATTTATATTTATAGCATATATTTCAATTTTAGGAATAATTTTGTATCAAAAATGTGTTTTTGTCCTATATAATATAGGTTTTTGCCAATTTGCTTGGCAAAAACCTGTTTTTGCCAGGACGGTTTTTACCGGTATTTACCATGGTTTTTTCCACCTGCGGCAAAATCTTGCCAACCCTGCCTTACAACATATGTACATTCATACATCATAATTCAAGATACATTTTTCACATACATTTATTTTCAATTAATTATTTTAATCTATTTATTTTCAGAATTTAGTCTTGCTGTGATATCTCAACTAAAATTGAATTTCTGAATGTTTCTTTTTACTATTGGTATACCTATCTGTAATAATAAGTAGTGGTTTGCCGAAGAGTAGCTTTAAGTTATACACTTTAACTTGATCCCATTCTGTTCTGTTTTTCCCTCTTTCTTTTCTAATAGTTATTCCTTTGTGATTGCCCAGAAATTGCAAGAACTTGACAATACAAGGACTAAAACAGAAATCTTTCCTACAACAAAGTATTGGCACAATTTTTTCAACTTTCAATCTAGCATAACTAAGTAATCATAATTTTTGTATCTTAAATGTTATGATTTAAATAATTTTAAACAGGCTATCAATTAAATATGTGAAGTTAAAAAACTATTTTAGAAAAATAAATTGAAATTTTTCTTTATTTCTACCAAATTTGTAGAAAGGGACAATTACTTAAAATAATAAAAGCTGACATTTTCCTCAGAAATATTGAAAAATCGAAAGATAAGACATTAACCTAAAAGTAGGGAATTTATATATCTGTACATCTTTGCACCAACTGAAATCGCAAAGGTGCCAACAAAAACTTCTCATTTGTTACAGATGAAATAAATTTGGGATATTTCCGTATCATAATCTGCCGTGCCAACTACAATCGCCAAGATGACAAATAGATTTTAAACTTGCAATTTTTTAAAAAAAATAAACATGTAGGTTTTTGCCCAGGGGTAGCAACGAGTTACATCTTTCAAGTTGGTCCCTTTATGAGATGTTTTTTTTAGTTTCTCGCGGACCGCTGCCCGAAAGTTTCCAAGACTTGGCAATTATTCTGCCACAGATTACGATATGGAAATCTTTCCAATAATTTTTTTTAAAAGAAGTTATATTAGCTTGCCCAAAGGCGGCTAGAAGTTTCACCTTACTAGTTTGTCCTACTTTGCGATATTTGCTCCCAATTTTTACCAAACCATTATTTCGGCACAGGTATCAAATCAGAAATCCCTTATCAGCATACACAGTTTTCCTTTCAATAATTAGGTCAACATTATATTTAAATTTCATCATAGACAACAAGCTCTCTAGTGTCTTCATGATTTCCTTTTTGAGGAAAGTTTACCGCCAATGTCGACCACGATGAAGATGAAGAATCCTCTCCCAATGGAGGTATTAAAGGTTGGCGCCTAGCTAGAGAAACGTTCAATCGCATGCCATTGATTTGCGTTCCACTCATTTCTTTTATAGCTTTTTCTGCCTGGTCGATTTTTTCAAAAGTCACAAAACCGCAATTCTTATCCATTTCCATGGATATGTTAATAATGTTGCCAATTGGCTCAAACGTTTTTTGAAGTATTTCCTGTGTCACGCCATATCCTCTTACATACACAGTATTTCCCTGGCGTGGTCTCTCTGGCCTGCCATCACGATCTCTCTCTCGTCGAGGAATGTCACGAGCTCGCTCTTCCTTAATCTCATCTTCCAATTTCCTAGAGCTGACAAAACTTTCGTATAATTTTTTAACAGGAGGTCGAGGACTATTGCTAGGTGAGGCTGATGAATCAGCAGAATTAGCTGCATTAGAAGCTTCTTCCTCTGCTGAATGCGATGCGGTGAAAGGTTGATAACCAGCGACGGAGCCGCTGGTTCGTTCACAGGCGTTACGCTTGCGTTCAAGGGCTTTAGGTCGCTTAAATCCTTGGCGTTCCTTGTGTTCTACCTTAATAGCACTGATCGCGCCAGATTTGAGAAGCTTTTTGGCTACTTCCTTGGCATCTGGTTTCGCTTCAAGGGATCTTACAAGAGGTTTTGGTGGAGGAGGTTCTTGTTTTGGAGCATTCAGATTTTGCAGAGCTTTCTTCTTCCGCCGAAGTTTCTCATATTTCTTTTTCAGCATTTCTTCTTCCTCCGTCATTTGAGAAGGAAAATGCAAATAAACCATTTTGATAAAATGAAATAAACTAAGTTAGGGCTGGTAAAGAACGAAAAATATACCACTATTTTCTGAAATGTCAGTTATATTAATAAAATTGTATCAATAAATTTGAATTAACAAAATTTATTTAACTTCATTTGCTTCTCGCACTTCACTCTCTAAAAAAATGTAAACAAACAATTTACAGTAAATAGTGAAAGTTGAAGTGCAAACGCATTCTCTCAAGATACGGGTTTTAAAGACTATTCTCACTGTATATAAAATATTCGCGATAGGTCAATTACGTTTTTGCAAGAGAGAAGTTGATTGATGCGTTTTTCGCAGGGAAGTCTATTCAGGCTCCCATTCGCATCTGCGAATTTTTTACGTGATGTGAAAATGGTCCCTTTAATTCATTGGTTGTTTCACAATTTAGCGTGACTTAAAGATCTTGATTTGTTGTTGTCGCACTAATGCTACGCAATGCGCTATCGGCGTCATCCAGAGAAACATCCCTGAGCATGATCCGAAGGCATGACATCACAATTTTTATCCTCTGCAGAAAGGATGGCAGCCCCGCTTTTAGGTAGCAAGATTGCCTACGAATGAAGTCGAGCACTTTACGGTTGAACAGTTTACCACTCACCCTCGGTCCCTTCGTAGACTGATCCAATTGGTTTCCCAGCCGCACACTGACAACAGGCAGTGATGCTTCACTTCTGTGTTCTACTGATGGGATCCGTATAACGATCTGTCCACTGTGTGACCTTAGATCTTGAAATGTAACGAATGTGATTTGACTTATATTTGAAATCTTTTTTAGAACTGGAACAATCACAGTACTTTTGAATCACGGACAGTTCAAATAGAATAGACACACAGCTTTTTGCACTCGTCACTTGTTGAAATCGATTCCTAACCCAGACCCTAAAAATGGCATACATCCCTTAGACTTATCACACCACAAATGTAAAATGAAGTCCACAACCAATTTTTTTAAAGCTATTTAACATTTATTTAGTTAAAATTTCACCATTAATGTGTTCAGCGGTATTTCTCTTAATAATATTAAATTAGGCTGAGGCATTTTAAATTTTATCAAAAAGTAGTGGTTGAAAATGTAAAAAGTATTGTAGCAGCATATGCATTTCTTATTGCCAAAAGATTTCCTAAATATAGAGCAGAGAAAGTAAAAATAGAGAAAAAATTTTTTCCTTAAGGCTCTTATTTTCTACAAAACGTTCTTTTTTTCCTATTTTTCCCCTAAAGTTTTTAATCCTTCTCTTTAAAAGCTTAAAAATTATCTTAAAGCTTCCTTAGCATGAATCTTACAGATTTTGAAACTCTTTTTTTTTTTTAAACTTCTAATATATAAGTAATTTTAATAGGCCAATGAAAAAAAAGCAGGTAAGTTTCAGTTTACACAAGAACAAAACAAGCTACAGTTGAACTTAATGATTTTTACTTTTTTCATTAAGTTATATAACTCCTTATATATAAGTTTCCTTCTCTTATTTAATTATATTTCATCTCTTAAAAAAATATTAAACAATTTTACCAGGTTCTAGTTTTTATTGATTTACCAAAGAAGTCTGTATTAAATAATTTTTTTTGTACAGTGGAACCTCAATATCCTGAATTCATCAATATCGAATTATTCATAATTGATTCATTATGCATGTTTCCTAATCCTAATATACTCCATATACTAGTTTAGTTTTATGCTTTTTTTCTTTATTATCAAATTAAGTTTTGATAATAAAAAAACCAGATCTGGATTTAGAAATTTTCTTTACAAAAATCACCAGACCCTACACAAAAAAAAATTGAAATTATTTCTTTCTAAAATTGTTCTGTTTCACAATCTTAATTTTTTTGTCAAAGAACCAGATGCTGTAAGTCTATTCATTATTTCTGATTTTTCTAAATCACCACTAACTGAAACACACTTCTCATCAGAAGTATAGCTTTATTTCCCACTCATTCATGAGTTACACACTTTATCCAAACACCTATATCTTATAATATTGATTTTTTTGCAGAATAGCTAATGCAATCAGCTTCTTTTGAAACATAGATTTTTTTTTTTTAACGGAGGAAAAACATGATTTTTAAAGTTTAAAAAATCTTTCTAAGAATGGAATTTTATTTTATGTTCTACAGATGTTTAAAAAAAATATTCCTTGTGTTATCAGAAACATTTCATTTTCCTTATTTTATCAGAAACATGAAATCAAAAGCCAACAAAAAATGTATTTTGTTAAAACATGATTTTATTTTAATAAGAATAGCAAATTAGTAGAATTTCTTTTCCTGTGATATTAAGGTTCGACTGCTTTTAAACAAAGTTTTCACAACTCATAAAACATTATAATGAGAATAAGCAGAATAATGAAATACACCTGTTTCAATACTATACATAGATAAACAAAAATGATATTAAATATGTTTGAAAGCTAAATAAAAATTATACAAAAGAACAACTCAATAAGTTTTATTTTTTTAGTTGTCTTATTCCTATTATAGTAAAGAAAATTAAAAAAATAAAATTTTAAACTGATTGCTCATTTTTACAATTTATTTCATTTTATTCATAATTAATTCATTTTAATTAATTAATTTCAGTACAATAAGTTAATATTATATCATGAGAAAAATAAAATTGAAAAAGGTGCTTAAACATCTTTAAGTTCTTAGTTCTTGCGAACATAATAAGAGCGTTTTTGCTTATCAACTTCAGATAGATGGATGCATGTGTTTCAAGCTGCTTTCTCTTTATTCTTAAAGAATAGAAATTATAGAGGTCATACTTTCTACCAGAGACATGTTAAATGCTAAAACAAATAGAAATTTCCAAAATCACTTTTTTTTTTGTTTAAATAGAAAAGAAAAAAAAAATCGTCAGATCTAAAATGAAATATCTAGAGTAGCATCAATTTCTGAAGACATGTGGAGACAATTTGCAAAGACAAATTGAAGTTCATTACAAAAGTAAAGATCTTACATTTTTCACTTTAGGCCTGACAAAAATAAAATTACATTCTGTTCTTCAATTTACATAAAACACAAAGTATTTAATATTTGCCTTTTATTTTACTATTTTTTTATTTTCAGTTTTATGCCTGTTTCTTTAGACAAAATTTGGTTGGAAAGTAGACAAAATTTTGATTGAAGATAATTTTAGCTTGTTAGTAAAAATGCTATAAAATAGCATGAAAAATGTTAATGTTTTTTTAAATGTATTGCTAGAAAATTATCGGCTATACTAAAAAAAAATTGACTTAATTATATTATTTTACTTAAAGTATTTAATAAAAATTAAAAAAAATTATTAACAATTAAAATGGGTATAATAAAATTGTTTTTCAATTTTAAACTTTTGTCATTGATTAAAGAAAGACCTATAATGATGCATTTTACAAAGTATTTTACAGCAGTGGAAAGTTGTGTAAAATTAGAAAGACTCATTAAAAAGTCGAAAGAGTTGGTACCTATGAGATAAACAGAAACGAAAAGAAAGGCGGGTACAAATAACACTAAACCATTGATTCCAGAAAATTAATCTAAAGACAAGTTGTTTATTGAATTATTTTATACATTTATTAATCATACACACACATAACATATACTATAATAAAATTATAACAATCGTGTTGATCAGTAGAGTCCAGATTTCAACGAGCTTAAAAATAGCAAACAGAAAAAAGCTATGAAAATAAAATAAAATAAAAATGTCCCTTTTGAACTAAACAAGAATTTCAATTGGTTAAATGACTTTTTACTTCATTCTTATCTGCACTGATTAGTTTGCATACAGAAAAAAATATTTTCTACGAATTGCATTATAAAAAACAAAAATATTAACAAAGTTACATATAAATATGATTAAATATTAAACATTCATTAATTATAATATAAAAGAAAAATTACCCTAGTATCTCGAAAGATGCCAAAAATGCATATGTCTTCAAAATCTAGGCCTTATTACTGAGATTATGAACAGAAAATAGAAAATTATGTACATAACTATATACTGAATTGCATTAAAAATATTTATTTCACTTGAAAAAAATTTATTAAATTATTTAAATCGTAATTGTTTAGGATCTGTAGAAGAGAAGGCACTTTAGATTTTACATTTATACCCTTGAACTTGAAGACATCAATGAACAAATCTGTGATCATACCTATAAATAGAAAAACAGACTCGGTCAACAAACAAAAATTTAAAAAGTCAGTTTAAAATTAATTGTTAAATAAGATATAAAAAAATGTGAAATGAATTTGATTTTATTATTATACCATTTATACATATAATAACTTAATAGTAATCATTAATAGCATAGATAAATTGTTTAAAACCTATGCAGAGTTTGATTATTGAATTGAGGAATCCAATAAGCTTCAGACTCTGATTTGAATTTTTAAAATTTAATTATTATGAAAAATAATGTTAGCAAAGAGTAAAGGATAACAAAAAATGTTCTTTTTTTCAAGGAGCTAGAAACAACATATTTAAAAAAATTTATTAAAGGTTAATTTGACTTTAAAATTAGTAAAATTTATCTTGAATATTTAAATCTAATAACAAATCAGATTACTTCAAAGCCTCCCATATCATAGTCAAACATCTAAAATGTTTTGTATAAACCACTATTAATATATACAGTGGGTGATCGGTTAACGAACACTTTCACGAAAGATTTTTGTGTTCGGTTAACGAACACATATTCGGATAACGAACAAAACGAATTCTAACGAACACTTCTCGGCCTGAAAAAAAAGTACTATTAAACGTTTGTTATCAATTTGCATACAAAATAAGATCACTGAAAGGAGAAATATTTAAAGCATGCTTAATATTGATAATTACTAAATGAAACTTGAATTAACAATGAATTCAAATTTAAAGGTCATTCAATAATTATTATTATAAAGCTTAAAACACTTCTCGTTTACCACTCTGAGAATCACAGAGCATTAAAAAAAAATTCCATAATTAAGAACAAACTGCCAGTAATGTGGAGATTGAATCAGAGGGCATGGGTCATGCAGTATCTTTTCAAAGAATGGCTATTTGAAGTTTGTGCCCCGAGCATCAAGGACTACCTTGATACCAATGACTTGCCGTTGACTGCTGCTATTAGACAATGCACCAGGACATTCAAAGGATCTTGAAGATAATTTGTTGACAGACTTTCCCTGGCTGACAGTTCAGTTTTTACCTCCGAATACGAATTCGCTGATTCAGCCGATGGATCAGGAAGTTATTGCGGCTTTCAAGAAATTGTACACTCGCGCGCTGTTTCGTCAGCGTTTTGAAGCAAGCCAATTCTCCTCAACAATGACTTCAAAAAAGTTTTGGAAAGAAAAATTTGACATTCTTGAAGCTATTCGTATCATTCAAAAGGCGTGGTCAGAAGTCACACAGCGACATTTGATTTCTGCTTGGCGGAAGCTGAGTCCATCCTTCGTTCAAGGTGACAGAGGTGATCAGGGAGACACCCCTGAAATTATGGATGAAATTTTGACAACAGCTAGAGATCTAGAATTGGAGGTGAACGAGGATGACATAGAAGAGCTCATAATGGGACATGAAGATTAACTGACGACAGAAGAACTCCAAGAAATTTTGAATGAAGAACACCAAGAAACACAGCGAAATGTGTCTCCTTCTGAACAAAAGGAAGACGAAAGAGGATACCAATGCCGACATCTGCCGTTAAAGATCTTTTGAAAAAGTGAGAGGATGTCAGAGCAATGGTCTTAGAATGGCACCCAAACTAAGCTGATGTCAGTAGGGTTGGGGATTTTTACAACGACAGTGTTATTAATTACTTCCGGAAAATCCTGAAAAAGAGAGAAAAACAATCGACATTGGACATGTTCTTCAACGCCCCATAAGCAAAAAATGAAAAGGACTGATTAATATGCAAGACTATATGCATGTATTATATTTTTAAAAACTTAAGAAGAAATTATACATTTTTTTAAATTTCATTTTTAGGGTCTCCAGAACGAATTAATTGATTTCACATAGAAGTCTATGGTGAATCGATGATCGGTTAACAAACAATTCGGATAGCGAACATAGTCTTGGAACGGATCATGTTCGCTAACCGATCACCCACTGTATGTTTAGAATCCTTGCCTTAGACAATATAAGAATAGGACAGGAAAATGTTTGAGTATCATACTTTTTGGTTAAAAATCATCCTAATAAATAAACTGGTTTAAAAAAAACATGGTATCTGATTACAACATATTTTATACAGTCGGAAATTTTAGATTTTTTTTCTTGGTACCTTCTTTCACTGAATCATTTTACATTGATAATGTGTGAAAAACTAATGCTAATTATTTTTGTTAAAAAACCATATAAGAAAAATGCATTTCAAACTAAGATATTTTTACACGTAAATGAAAAGAAAGAAGAAAATTTCCTACTACTATTTAATATTTCAATAAAACGCATAGCATCAACTTAAAATCTAAAACACCATTCTGGTGGGAACACAGTTATAATTTTCATGGGGTTTTTAAATAATTACACTTTGTTCAAAAACTAAAAATCATAAAGTAATGAAATTTAATTTTAAAAGAAGTCTAACCCAATAACATGATAGCCTTTTGAAAAAAATATATATACATCATACATTTTCACATACAATTTTGTATTGCATAAGAAACACAGATAAAATGTTATTAATAATAAATAACTTATTCATTTTTGTTCAGTGAGAAAACGGCTATTAAAAATACGATTTTATGTACAAATTACTTAAACAAAACACTACAAAAAAGTCTTTCAAAAAAGAACACTGGGATCGGTAAGAAGAGTATAAATTATGAATTATATTGGGAAACATATATTTTTTTGTTTTCTGTTGCAGGGGATATTTTTTCAACAGATCTTAATGCTTGTCACAGCACTGATTTCAAATATGCAATTGATTTCTCCTCACAAGCTACAGTTAGTTTGATCCTTAATAATAAGTCCGAATATCAGGTTTTTTTTCTTATTTAACTCTAATAAGTCTCCACTTCTCTCTTGTGTGGTGTCAGGAAGAAGGAAATAATATGTTTCAAGTTTATGATATGATAAGTTATGGTATCATATCTCTTAGTCATTAGGGCTTATACACAAAAACTCAAAATGTCATGTTGAAAAAATATATATATCTAGCGTTCAGAATAGAACTAATTTTTAAAATCACCACACTCAAATTAGGCAAAATCAAGTACTTAAAATGCAACAAGAAATATGTTCTCTGGTGTTATTAATAATTGCATATGTTATATAACAAAACAACACAAGAAACAAAAAAGCACCATAAAATTTTATTTTCTACATGTTAAAAAATATAACCAGGTATTTGAAAAATTAACGAAATAAGAACTGAAAGAGATTAAAAGTGACTTTCTGCATCCTGCTAAGAAAATAAGAACATTTTCAAAATCTTTGTACTATGTTTTCAAATAGCTAATTGAGAGAAACTATAAAATAATGTTTTCAAAATAATTTCCATTTGCAGCAACAATGTGATATAGTTTGTAAACAAAACTGCAGTAGTCCATGAAACTATTTCAGTTGATTGAGTCTGACATGACGAATAAAATATTGTTTGATAATTTTTCTAGTCTGCAGCACCATCTGTTGTCAAACTTGACAACTAATTTTGAAATTTTATAAGAATACATTCTATAGTTTTCTAAGCAGAAATCTTTACAATTCTAATGCAATCAATTTTTCTTCAATTGATTTTTTATATTTTTCTTCAATTGTGAGGCACATGGTATAATTGGTTGAATTATGTTGGAAATAATTACACAAGACTGATAAATAGAAAATAATTGTTACCAAAGAGTCTTTCAAGATGACAAGGCTGCCTCTTGTACTCCAGCTGCAACTGATCAGCATTTCCTAATATATCCTGATACTCTGGTGCTAAAAAGCTGAGATCATTTTCGTGCACTTTCAAGTCCTAAAAATGATGCATCGTGAATAAATTAAAACATTAATTTTAAAAAGCAGATATAGTCACTTAAACTTTTAGTTTTTAAAATTACAAGAGAAAGTTGTTTCATGAATAAGTATGAAACTATAAAAACTTAAGCAACTAAGTATCCATATTTAATTAGTAGGCATAAAATGACATTTAAAATTTAAACAATAGCAAATCCAAATTTAATAGAGAGTTGTTGTTGTTGTTGTATAATGTAACCTGTGAATGTCTGACGAAGTCAGACAAGGTCCATCTGATCGTTGATCCTAAGAAATCAAGGACCAGAAGGTGGAGGAGTTAATTATACCTACAATGTAGGTTTAAAAAAGTATACGGTAAAGGCTACATTTTGAAAACATCAAATGTATTCTGGGAAAGGTCTAGCTAGAAATACTATGACACATTGAAAAGTATACATTGTAAGTACTGTTGTTATTATTCTTTTGCATTAAAATTTGGATTTTATAAAAAAAATAACAAAATGTTTAGTCATATCTACATTTTTTAGTGAATCCTACAGTGTCTAATCATTTTTGAACTAATCTTTGGAACTGATTGTTTGTCAAAGAATTGGAACATTCACTAAACATTATGTGAAAAAATTGCTGCTTGTAAGAAAGTTACTTCAATGTCATCACAGGAGTAAACACAAAGTTTTACTCTACAAAAATTCAAATTTTTCTTTTAAATATTAGCTTTTGGGCAGTTACAAAGAATTATAACAAGATTTATGAAGAAACGCGTCAAGCACAATATGTCATGTTACTATCTTTTCAGATTGTTAGCATATAGCAGTGTTTCCTAAAGTGTAGTACGCGTACCCCCAGGGGTATGGGAACAATTTAGCGTGCGTTCTTATGCGAAATATCTTGCAGCAAACGAAAATTTCAAAAACTTTTATTGAAAAACAAAGCTAGCCATGAAAGTTTATGATTACTTATTTTTCTATTGGCTATTTTTTGAAGAATTAACTGTTAATAATTAGCAGTGTCAATTAGCCAGTTGTGATTTTTAACTTTTCTGCAATATAGTAAAAAATACATTAATTTTTTTTTATTAGTGGTATACAGCGTTGAAAAATTTAGAAAGGGTGCACAAAAGTCATAAGCTTGGGAAACACTGGCATATAGATTGACTGATAAATAAAAAATTTCAGTGGGTTAACTGTTTTTCCTAAAATATGGCATTTTAAATGTATATACTTAAAAAAAGTAATTACATGGAAGTTATGATAAAACAATAAGAAATATAGTTTATTAAAAAATTAAAGTAAAAATGAATAAAGGAAACCTTCAAAGCATCTATCACTTGGACTTTTTTAGCTAAGAGCAACTGATATTCCAATTTTGGGTGAATGAATCTAAGCATATGGGGAACACTTTCATCATTAATATCTGCAACAAAAAATATTCATACATGTAAGAAAGTTTTAAACTACATAAAACTACTTTAGATTATTAATTAGTTTAAAATGATTGCAAAAAACTTTAGCAGTTTTGAAACATACACTTGACTGATTGAAATGAAATTTAAATGTATCCCACTTTAAACACAAAAAAATATCAGGCATATTGTTACAAAATTTTTGAAATTAGAATTATGAATACTAACCAAAGGATATGTCAAGCATTATTTTCTTTTTGGTAGCTTCTCGTGACAAGACATCCTTCAAAATAGAAATGGTGGAGATGTTGTCAGATTTAAAAACAGATTCTCCTTTTCTATAAAGGTACGAGAAAATTTTTTTTTTCTTTCTTTCCAATATAGAGAAATAAAAACTCTTTTAACCAACTATTTAATGACAGAAACATCATCAAGTGAAATATTTCAAAAATTGTAAAGGTTATGAAATATTCATTTGTGTTCAATTCACTATTACAAACATAATACCTTTAAATTTCTTATTGCACTCATTCTAAAATGACATACTAATCATAATATTATTCCGCATTCATTTTTATAATTAAAATAATATACCCCTTTTAATAATAATTAATGTTCCTTTTCATAATAAAATTTCAAATAAAAATCTGATATTCAGAAGAGCGCATAAATATGCAGTAAAATTGACAAAGCTTTAACATAACTGAAGCTTTTGATTATTATTTGAGAGACGAGCTTGGATCATCAAATTTTTTTAGCTCCAGGTCCCCCTCAATTATTATAATTTTAAAAATTTATATTGATATTCAGTAATATTTATAAAAAATGAATATACATTTCAATTATGTAATTTTCGGGCAAGAAGCACAGTTTCCTTGTACATAAAAAGTAATACGAGAAAGAATAATATGACTATTTGCTCAACAGAAAAAAAACCTTAAAAATATATGCAAAATTGAAAAATTAATAATTTTTTTTATGGGATCAATTGTCGAACATAATTTGTAAATAGAAGTGTAGAAATTTTAGAAAAACACTGCTTAAAACTTGTTTATTGATAAGTTTTTAAAGAGGAATTTTTTAGCAATTAGTAGCCGTTGAAAAAGGACCATTCTGAATAACAACTGATCTAATGATCGAATCTTCACATTCTAGGACTCCTTCTTAATTGTTCAAGGAAGTGACCTTAAATATGTTAATTAATTAGGACAGATGATATTTCAAGTTGAGAAATCAGGTATAAAAAAAAATTCTCTGAATAAACATACCTCTTTTTGACCGATTTGGATTTTAGACCCCTAAGATCTAGGGGGTAGACACAATCTGAGAAATTAGTTTGGCCAGGAGAGCAATCCAGAGTTTTGACCCCTTAATGTTAATTTTACTTTTTATATAGTTTGCCCTATCTCACGAATTTTTTAAGTGAATTAAAAAGAAATTTTTGCACACAATCATAAAATTCGTTTACCCAAAGATATTTTCAAGCAAAATTATTTTATGTAAATATCTATAATTTTTTATTATTTTATTTAACAATAATCAAAAACATTTGTCAAAAACATGAATTGTAAGAGATAACAGTTTTAGATATCTATTTAAATAATGTAATTTTACAAGGAAAAATACAACATTTGTGCAAAATCGGTTGAATAGTTTCTGAGAAATCAAACAATAAATAAAAAAGATTTTTTTTCAAAAAAAAATTCTGAACTTACTGTAAAACTACTTACTTATAAAAACAATACAAAACAGTATCCAGAAAAGTAGATCTAAAATAAAATGTAGCACATTCTCCTGGAGGCATACGATCAGGTACTTCAGGCATACAAAATACAATCCAAGAATGTATTTCAGCAAGTGCAAACGCTCCTCTTAATGTCAAAGTGTTTAATGGTCTAACGCAAATAGAAAATAATATTATTAAAAGAATATTTTTAAACAAATAAATAAACAAAAGTAATTTACGTAATTACAAATTAAATTTTCTAAACATTAACTCTCTTTGAAATAATTCAAACTTTTTTTGGAATGAAAATACTGTATTTTAAGGTACAAAATAATGCGTAGGAAAAAAAATTAAGTAAGATTCAATGCAGAGAGAAAATGTTTAGAAAATTAAGAATTAATTTCACAAAATATATTATAAATACTCAAATAAAAGTTCTGTAAATTGCTTATTATTTTAGAGAAATATAGTTTATCAACACTATAAAACAGTTTCATTTAATCGAACCCAATAAAAATCCTGGTTTGCACAACAGCTAGATGAGTAGAAAATACTCTTGATTATCATAAAAACTAAAATGCTTATTAGCAATTGAGTATCATAATCAAAACCCCTAAAAAATTGCAACTTTTTTTTTTTAAAAAAAATGCATTTTTTAAACAAAAAAATATAAACGAAAACAAATAAATACCTATTTTCATCAAAAGTATGTGTTCTGCAGTGTAAAGACAAAGGCTTTATTTGATATTGCCTAATTTGGCAGCACTTTGGCTGGAGTCTTGGAGTTATGTAAGCTTGAAGAGTACCATACTGTCCTTCTATGGATCGAATCTTCACTTCCAATCGGGTAGTGTTTGCTTGACATCTGTATGTTGCCAAAAGAAAATTCCCATCATTCTAGAAAGGAAATCAAAATAACATATAAATAAAAAAAAAATATATAAATCAAAAACAATAAAACTTGCAACAATAAAAACAGCAACAATGAGATTTTTACAACAGTAAAATAATATTAGAAAAAAAGGATTTTTAGAAATAGAGAGAATTTTTTTATTACCTTGAGATTTTATTATTTGCTTATAGCATATGGGCACATTAAAACTAAATTTGAATACTATATAGCACTATATAAAACAATACCTCTAAAATCAATATTTTGTTAGTTTCATTTACTAGTTTCAATTTTTAGTAAGTTCAATTACTTTGGATAACCAAGATCAAACTGTAATTACAGAAAAGGATAAATAAATGCACAAATGATTTCTCACTAGGAACTAATGTATAATGACTTTTATAAAGTATTGTTTTAAAATTTATACAGTGGATAAATGAAAAAATTAATGTTAACATTTTTAAAGAAATACGTTATTGAATAATCTTTTCTGAAAACTGCAAATATAAAGAACTTAAATTATATTGAATTATTATAAATAATAACTCATGATGATTTATAACTCACTTCAGGATCACAAGAACTGTAACTGACAACTGCTGAATTCCTTTCACTATCTAACAGATCAACTGGAACATCACTCTGAAAGAGTTAATGAGATTTTTTTATTTGATAATTAATTCTTCTTTACTTAATAAATAAATCCCTCAATATCACTATATCAAAATCAATAATACCTATAATGATATTAATATACACAGGAATGTTACTTTCAAAAAGTAACTAGCAAAAGTAATAAAAGGAAGGAAAAAAAGTTTTGATATTGAAAAGTAATGAGTTAAAAAAAAAGAAGAAGAAAACATGATTTTAAATACACGATTAACGATTTTAAAGTAAATTTTAAGGAAATCGAAAATTCAAAGTAATCTTATATTTCATTAAAAAATGTAATAACAAAACATAAAATTTTTAATTTAAAGTGTATTAAACTTTAATTTAAAGTGTATTAAATTTTAATTTAAAGTGTACTAAATTTTCATTTAGAGTGTATTAAATTTTCATTTAAAGTGTATTAAATTTTAATTTAAATGCATACATTTTTAAAATGTGTGAAACTGTTACAAAATTCTTGGAAATAGATAACATTTAAAATATCAAGAAACCAAGCCAGAAATCAAAATTCAATGCTTGCTTATGAACAGGAATTTTAATTTATGTTAATTTAAAATTTATATCAAATCTTAGAAAATTTTGTTTTTACTTTCAGAAATTAACCTTATAACTTCTGTTTCAAAAAGCAAGTAAATATATAAAATATTGCATTTATTTTCAGGAAACTTTTGAAAGTAAAACTGATCAAAATAAAAAAAAAATTCAATGTTTAATGTATACTTTGTTAAACAAAACACGATTTTTATAAACTATAATGAAATGCCATAAAGTTTGGACCAGGGCTGCTGAAGGGCTAAACAAGCACCTGCTTGAAACAAATTTAAATCTTTCATTTGAAAAATAAATGACGGTTACTTGGATCAGAACATTATCGATGGGAGTTTGCACTTCTAATGTTAGCAAATAGGAAGCATCTTCATGGCTGAGTTGGAACATGTCGTTTATGCTGAAATAAGGAACTGCTGAAACCCCTCCAATGTCAGATTGTGCAGCCATTTGATAGTTTTCTCTCTCTTTCTGAACTTGCTGCTGAAGCTCCTCCACTTCTTCTCTAAAAAAGGAAGCAACATTTAACCTTCTTGCGAGCTTATCTTCTGAAGTTAATATTTTAATGATATCAGTTGGACACTGCCACCTTCCTTTATAAAATTTAAAGAAAAAAGTCTTTCATTTAGGCTTTAGAGAATTAGGCTAAGAAATAGGCTAAGAAATTATTAAAATACTATATAACATACTGTTTTTTGTAATGTTATTCTTGTTTCATAAGCAATTAAAGGTTTAATTACTGTTACATAATTGAGCCGGGATATTCTGGTTGGTAGAACATAGGACCCAAGTTTGTAATAAAGTGCGCTTGAATCCTGCTGACGAAAGAATCCTTGTGTATTAAATGGTGAATGGTGCAAGTTAAATCTGTCGGGGTCACAAAGTCTTCCAAGTTACCATAACAAATCAATAACATTCACTTTCAATTTATAGATGCACTAAAATCAAATTAAGAACTAGACAAGATGCCACTGCAGACCTGTGAACTAAACTGCTGAACATAAAGAGTAAGTTAATCAATATGTTCACAGTTTTATTCATTTATTCTTGGGATTACATCAAAAAAGGTTGATTCTTTAGGATTCCACGACCAAAAGAAATTGAGAATCGAGAGAAATGGAACAACATTTCACATAAAATTATTATGAGGTATGCCCTTAAGAACAGTATTGAAAGCAAGTATACAATTCCCAGTGTTACACTGGCAGAATTCAAAAATTTTAAAATGAAAATTCCTACTAATAACATAATATTCACAGTAAAAATGACATAAGAGCATTTTTAAAATGAAAAATGGTGGCACCAGGCTGAAATCAAGGAAAAAATTTTTTATACATTTTAAAAGTGTTACTGTTTCAATACTGAAATTATGCAGGTGATAAAATACAGAAAGATATTTGAATACTTCATCTTACTTCACAGATATTTGTTTACTTCATCTTGTCCTATTAGTCTACATAAGGCATCATCACAATTCATGCTGAAAATATCCTTTCAGCTTTTTTTTTTACATTCAATATCACATTTTATAGAGAAAATGTAAGTGTAGCTATTTAAAAAATTTGTAACTGTAATTTAACCGCAAAAGCCGGAGGCTAGAAAATTATCTTTATTTTTTAGTGCCTTGGTATCTGTAAACAAAACTGTAAATCTCAGTTAGGGAGATTATATGATGGTAAAGTTAATTTACAATCATTCTGTATACTCTATAAATTGTTTTATCCAAAATATAAAATTAGTTTTTGATAAGGAAAATTTTTTTTTGTATAGTTTTTAAATCTAAACTTTTAAATGATATCACAAGAAAATTTTTAATGATATTCTTAATTACTGTTAAGTTTTTATTCTACAAACTATAATTTATATACTTGAAAACAAGATTGGACATAAAACAATAAATCATTTTTCTCTTTTCACACAAAAATTTTTTTAAGTGCATTTAAAAAAAAATTTAAGTTATTCAAATTGAAAAGACACAGAACTATAAAAATGCAAATCTTGTTAAAAAACAATCCAAATTTATAGGCAATATTTTTAAATAAACTTATAAATTTTAACAAATATTTTTCATATTTCCTGTTGAGTAATATGTCACAAAATTGGTTTTTATCAGGGAAAGCAACCGATTTGGATCAATTTGGTTTTAGGGGGTTATCTCAGTTTTAACCAAAATTAGGTTTAAGGTTGAAAATTAAACCAGTTATATGAGTACAAAGATATAATTAGATAATCAAAAAAAAGTTTTTTTCAATATATCAGTCAACGAAGAAAGCATATTTTTATCACTTAACTTAAAGTTTTAATCACATAGCAAAGGTTAATCTTTATTAAAAAAAATACACTTTGTTAAAAATGAGCAAAACCAACAGTGGAGAAGTTTTCAGATATTAAGTTATTACTTAATAATAAGGGTCATGAGGGTCATGCAATTACACTTAAAATTAATTTCAAAATAAAAAGATAAAAGAAGCATAAAAAAAACTATGCTGAAAAAAGGTGCAAAAGTAAATGTACTTGAGGTGCATGAATCTATTAAAGGCATCTGGATCAATAGAGTGAGTGAAGTGCTTTGGTTGTTGCTGCATAGAAATACCAAAAATTGATCCTGTAAAGTATGTATATTATAAGCTTTATAGTTTCATTAAATACAAAAATCACAAAGAAAAGTGCAAAAAGCAAAAACCACAAGCACAGTGCAGTTTTGTTCATAAAATATAAAATGTAATAAGTATAAATGTACATAAAATATAATGATAAATCGAATTAAAAAATTGTTCAAAGAAAACTTTTTTAATCTGATGTTTTTATGAAAAAACACAAGAACTTCCTTGTTAGCAATCAGTTATTTTTGTAAATCTATTTCGTTTTAATCTAGCAATTTTTTTTTCTTCAAAATCTCTTTAAGCACTTCAATTATAAATTAAATACCTTTTATGTAGCATGAAAAACGACAGTGATATGCTATGGGTAATTTTACGAAATACATTTTTTTTTTAAAAAGGGAGTATGGAAAATGTTCAGTAGAATGAAACTTAATATGATTAAACAACATTAAGGAATTGAATCCATAGTTGTTAAGAATTAAATTAATGAACATGATTATTGAGTGAACCTTTCTAAGTAATTGACATTAAATTTACAGTCTGTCAGTGATAAACTGAAATTGAAATTAAATTAACAAAAAAAGAATACGAACATGATGTAAAGAAGAAAAGTTAGAAAAAGTAATGAAACAATATAAACAAAAATTCAAAAAAAAAGCTTATTTATTATATGAACCAGAAATAGGATGGAAAATAACAAAAACTAAATGTAGATACAAATATAGAATGAAAAATGTAGATGTGTTTTTGCTTCGAATAAAACAATACTATTCAGTTACATAAGTTTACAAAAATAGTATTTATTAATAAATTTTCAAAACAGAAAAAGTCCATAATTAGATGAGCATATAAAAGCTATTCCATATTGCGCAGAATATAAAAAGATCCTTCATAATCTTTCAAGAGAGTAAAACAAAAAGAAAATAAACAAAAAAAGATTTTTTAAAAAAACACTAAAAATGAAATAAAAATAAATAAACTGTATGCTATGTGATGAAAATTAAATAAAATATTCTAAAAGAGTTATTCCAAAAGTAAAAAAAAAAATTAAAATATTAAAGGAAATATATATATGATACCTAAGTTTATAAATTTTCTGAGCAGCATCCTCTGATATTAATAAATAATTTGGATCAAGACGTTTATCAGATGGTTCAGAAGATAGACCAAATATCCAACCTAAAAAAATTTAGGAATTCTAACATTTTTACTGCCACTGGACCAAATATCAAAAAGAAAAAATTACAACTTTTTGATCGTTTACAGGAAATATAGAATAAAAATATATCCATGTATGAGAAAGAAAAGTGTAAGAATTATAACCAAAACTATTTTACAAAACTTTTGCTTTCCCAACTGGTCATACACTCCATGGTTTAAAATACCACATAATTTTTTCAAGCTGGTATGACACTCTAATGAATGAATTAAAAGCTACAAATCTTACATATTTAGAAATAATAAGAATTTTTGGTAATGAAACTGGTTGTTAAATGATTCCCTTAAAAAAAAACATGCATTTTTTAATCAGACCAAATTTTATAATAGCATTCAAACCATTTAAAATTTTAAAACATTTTAAAATATTTTAATATAAAATTGTTAGGTTTTTATGATAATAAATCATTAATTTATGAAAGCTTATATTTTCTTAAAATATTTTTAATTAATTTGTATTACAATATATCAATCTAAAATAAAATTTAAACTCTTAACTAAAATAATTATAAATTTCAAAAAATGCTCAACATTACACATAACATAATTTTTGAAATCTATGTAATAATAAAATAACAATGTTTCAATTTATGTAACATAAAATAGCCTGATAGTATTAGGAGTAATGGTATTTAAAAGCTATTTAAACCATATTTGTTAAACATATTTATAGTTATACTTGTGGGGAGAGAAGTTATATACATTGTCAACCTTTATCTATGAAAAAGTACCCCCTCATAGAATCGAGTTAACATGTCTTATATACTAGTGAATTCAAATTTTATAGTGGTAGATACACTACAGTACTCCCCGACCAGAATTTTTTCTGTGATAGAATTCGATGAACAGATACCACTAGTTGATTCATTGCTGTTTTGAAAGAAGCCGGGAGAGCTGTATAAAGATCACTATACTTCCGAGTGCTGATTGTGAGAGCTGTATTAAGTTCCCGGTCGTGATCGCTCCTGTGTTGCCATTAGCAGTCGAGTGTACGCAGGCTGACGTTGTGTGTGTGATCGAGACTGAGTAGCAACAGCGATAGGTGGACAATATTGCAGTTACAAGTAGCAAGTCAACTGTTCAATGTGGACTATCTATTGAAGTGGGAGTTTCTGTCAAAGTTAGCATATTCACATCACGTCTGGGTCACCAATGTGGGGAGACCAGTTACATACATTGTCAACCTTCATCTATGAAAAGGTTCCCCTTCATAGAATTAAGTTAATATGTCTTATATAATAGTGAATTGGAATTTTGTACTAGTATTAGAATTTTATACTAGTAAATCGGAATACACTACACACTTTTATGGCAATATTCTATTAATCTAAATTTTGTAAAATCAATAGAATTTTTTTTTAAAAAAAGTTAAAATTCACAATTTACACTAAGTACAAAGTAATTTAGAAAAGTTCGAGGAACCTAGTAAAATCTCGACTATCACGAGTAATATACAATCAATTCAATCATTTCTCATATTGATTAACACTAAATATATTTAACCTTTCTTTTGGTCAGTTCAACCATTAAAACATGTTCTGAAGATTTTAATGAAGTAAGCAACAAGAAGAAATATGGTTGGATCTTCAAGATTTTCAGGCACAACAGATTTAGCATGTGCCTGGCTATGTGCCGGTTGTTCAGTTGGCTGCTAGGTTCAAACTCACAATCCCAGCTCTCCACCGGAAGAGTGAGAACTCCCTTTGTCGACTGCACTACTGGAGAACTAAGAGATATAATATCTTCATATGTTTAAGAACAAATGTATAATATACATTTGTGTTATTTACAATTTATCGCACAAATTTGTTTCAAAATGTTAGTTTACTGACCGCAACAATAAACCTTTGAAACACTTCTGTTAAAAATAATTTAAATAATTATTTTTTTATAAAAAAAAAAGTCAGACTATAAAATTCTTACCGGAATAAGTGGTAATTAAAATTTCATCATAACCAGCAGTTCCAACAACTCCACCATTGACAGAGGTCACACTTTCACCACAATTCTAAAAAAATATAATTTATACAGTTGTCATATATCATATATATTTAAAAATCACACAAATAACTTGTTTACTCATGCATTAATAAGCAAGAATAAGATTTTTGAGGATGTGATTGTTCGGTATAAATTTCATAATAGAAAATAATTAAACAAAATAATTACAGTTGATTTAGCTTAAAAATAAATTTTCAAATGAATACAGAATATAGCAAATAAATATTTATTTCATTTTACTCAACTTTTGTTTTTCTAGAAAATAATATCAATTACTAATTAATGGCGTTAAATAAATTGCAATCTAGAGAAGCTGAAATAATTTTGGGATGCAACTAAACATTAAAAATGGTAAAGATTTTGCAATCTTTGAAAGTTAGAAAAACTTTAAAATTCATGAATTTACAAAAAATATATAAATTTACAAAAAAAAAAAAAAAACTCAAATGCTACTTTCTCTAATTCAAATTTAAAAAAACACACACAGAGAGATTGTAGAACATGCATTTTTGATTTATCAATGTGTCCTAAGAGTCTTATGCTGAAAAAATAAAATGCTTAGAAAATGAAAATATAAGCTGAAATGAATCATAAATTTATGCTATCAAATATACATGTAAATATTTTTCTCATAAAAAAATCAATTTTTCAACAACAAAAAAATCATTAAATAACAGAAATGGTTGAAACAAAATAAAATATTTTCACTTAAAAAAGCTAAGTAGGATTAATTTTTCAAATAAAACTCCTTTTCTTTTACTCCAAATGATGCTCTGTTCAAAAAATGTTCATTATAATAATGCAAGAAATATAGAAAATATAAATACAACCTTATAAAATTAATTAAAACCAACATTTAAAATCACATACATGCTTTGATGTCACTATGGTAATCGTTCATCAGTAGGATAAAAGACAAGAATGGTAAAAATATAAATGATTTAATACGACAGAGGTTTGATCATATTAAAGAGACAAACATGCAATTAAAAGATAAAATGACAAAAGATTAAAATATTAATGATTTCTAAATATTTGACAAATATGATATAGCAGTTAGGTCATGAGGAACAGAGTTTTAAATTTTGATAGGGAAATTCTTCGAAAAAACCAGGTCAATACATGAAAAATACATTCAAGGATGATAGGAGTAGGAAAAAAGTCGAAAACATTTTCACATATTTTATGAACAGCAATTGAATTAAATGAATTTTTTTAAGTGCATTTGTTTACTTTGAAAAAAAAACTAATATACCTTATCAATTCAATATCATAGATAATTTCTATGAAATAATTCCACTTGGAAGCATACAATAAACTCCAGAAAAAAAAGTTATTTTCAACAATTAAAAACAAACTAATTTTAATATAGTTTGAAGCACCATTTTCAACTCACATAAGTAAATCTTAAAACAGGATTTTCTGTTTCATCATAGCCGTACACCTCAATTAAACCATCGTTGCGTCCAACTATTAAATCCTTGATACCATCTCCAGTGATATCATAATTGTCAAGACAAACAATACCTATAAGGTAATTTTCAAAAGTCAGCACTCACAAAAAAGTACAATTTATGTACAGTAATTTCATTCAGTCTAGTCAACTATATTCAGGTGGTTGGAAAAACAACATTTTCTACAACTACTTTATTACAATTGTAGTTGACTACTTCTACTTTACTAGTTACCACTTTTATTTTTTTCTCAATTCATGCAGTATGATTTTCACATGTTTGATTACATGTATTTTTGATAGACTTAGAAATAGACTTACATTCTTTTGATTAGCAATGACATTAAACAAAATTAAAATATTTTTTATTTGTTTTTCAGGACAATTCAGAATATGCATAATTTACAGATAGTTTAAGATAATTTACCCAATTTCAAAAAAAGTAAAAATATTCTAAGGCTATAAATGATACTTTTTATGTCAATATGATAACAAAATGCAACTTTTGGAAATATAGGCATTTTGCACAATAAATAATAATAAATATTTTCTGAATTTTAAAAAAAAAATTTTATCATTTTTTCCCCAGTTGTTTGTTATTTTTTTATTACTATTATTTTTCCTTTCCTCCCTTTTTTTCATATGTCTGCAATTTTTATTTGTTTTATCTTCTTTTTGAACTTAACGAATGAGTTCTGTTTATTGGCAGCTTATGAGCAATAAATGAAACTTATTGTTTTTCTTAATTTTCTTCACGTTTTTTTGCATTTATTTATTTTGTTNTTAAATTTACTAGCTCTGCAAATTTGTAAAATATTAAAAAGTTTAAAATAAAATACCTCCATTCTTTTTGTTGTTTGGAATTTCCCATTTGTGAGTAGCACCAGTTCTAAAAATAAATTAAATAAATACATACAAGCAAAAGTAATTGTAGATGTATAATAAAAAATTAACTATATTTCTTACTTAAACTAATAATAATAATACCATATATCCCAGTCTGTAATTTAATTTTGTACTTTTTAATATGAGATTACAAATTTCTGGTATGCCGAGAGTCTAAGTCGACCGGTGTCGATTATTATATTGATACCATGAGTCAAATGATATTGATGCGTAGGAAAATATGGTTTCAAAACTTATTGTAAAATATTTAAAAAAGTGTGGAATTTCAATTTTTTGAATAGGATTGGAGATGATTTTTTGTGGGACTCAGATATGAAGATAAAGTAGAATCCATTGCAGAGTGGGATCTGTATGATGACATTATTATCATTGAATCTGACACAGATCATGTTCTTGAATACCTAAACTTGTGGCTTATGATTTTAAAAAATTGTATGAATAAATTTTGAAAGGGCTAAATTGATACAGAGTTAGTAATATCAATTGCAATGGTTATGGTGCATCAATAAATCAGGATCAACGAATGTCTGACTTTATTACCAGTGCACAGATACAACCATGCAATTTTTGTACAATTTTGCCGGTTTTGTCTACTTATAAATCGAGATATGCAGTAATTATAAAATAAATAAATATTTAAATAGTAGCAATACTTTTAAAAATAAAATAAATAGATTAAAGCAAAAGTAATGACAGATGTATGTTAGCAAGTTTTAGTACTAGTAATTTTTATGCAAAATAATAATAATAATAAAATAAATAAATTCTTCTTTAACAGTACTACTACCTAGTGCAGGCCAAGGCTTTCCCAGTCTGCCTCTTCCAGATAGTTCAACGTGTAGTTAAATTTCTCCCTCCCAATACTTTTACCGAAAGATTTTCCATTCAAAAGCAAGCAATCTGCATTCTTCTGCTTTATTAAGGGGCCAAGTCTCACTGCCATACAAAATAATAGGTATAATAAGTGGTTTATGTAAACTTGCCGTAGCACTCATGAAGATAAATTAATTTCAATTGGTTCTTCAGCCCAAAGTAACATCTATTAGCCACCAAATTGCGGCTCCCATTTTCTTCTTTTAACTCATTTTTCATTGGTAGTAAGTGTGCTCATCAGGTACTTAAACTGGATAACTTCACTAAAGGTATAATTGCCAATCTTGAGTGATTGCACACAATGGTGCTAGCCAGCATAAACTTAGTTTTATCTTCACTTCTCATAACTTTGGTAGCATCCCATAGGGCCATAAAAGTCTAAAATGAATGAATAGGCATTTAAAATTTACCTGCCAATTGAAACGAGTCCAATTTTACCATCTGTTGTTCCATACAATAAATCTTCACCAGTGTCACCTAAGAAAAGTAAATTTCTTGTAATGAAAGAAATAAGTATGCGGTTATTTGAAACCAGAAAGAACATTAATGAATGTTAAATTAATAAGGCATAAGAATTCATTTTTAATTGAAATTATCTAACAATCTTTTTCATTAGTGTGTACTTTTAAAAAGAATAAGAGACAGTGATATTTTATTTATTTAATTTTTACCTTTTTATGAAATAATAGTTATCTATGTTTTCATGTTAACTCAAGTGTTTTATTATTTTAATCTCCATTTTATTTTAAGTTTAAGTAATATATAGGGCAGAGTATCATTTAAATTACAAGACAGCCCATTCAGCTTTTTATTACATACCTAAGAAAAAGTAAAAATTTCCAGTATGTGAATTATTTACAATACAACCTTTTTCATTTAACAGTCACATTTTTTTTAAATAAAACTGACTCTTAAAAAAACTTTATAGTCTTCCTGGTATTATTTGTTTATTTAAAGAAAATTATATACCGAAAAATAAAAAAGACAATTAAAAAAAGTAAAAATTAAAAATATTGTACTTTTCCAATCTTAAAAAATATTCGTTACATTTTTATAATTGATCAAAAATACATGGAAATTATGGAAAATTCAAATTAGTTTGCATACCTGAATGTATCTTGAGCTAAACATAATAATTAATATTCAAGAAATAAAAAGAAATCAAACAAACCTCCATCATTTTGAAAAAGGGCTAATGTAGAAGGTGGTCCAGGTACCTCTACTTCATAAAGACAATTAGATTCCTACATTTCATAAAAAGTATTATTAAATTGAAGATTAAAGAAAGTTGCTAATTTTTCACCCAAAATAGTGATTAAAATAACTTATTATTTATCATGAGAGTCTTAAAGATAATTTCTGGTAAAATGATTTTCTTTAGATATCATAATATAACTAAAATAATATCTTGAAAAACAGGTATACATAGCTGCAATATACAAACGAAATGTAAAAAAATTTTATGTTTGCTATTTTTTGTGTTATTATTTAAAGACTTCTTTTTTAAAAATAAAAATATATTACCATAAAACTGAAAAATTGGCATAAATTTTAAAATTTCCTAAACTTTTTTACTACTTTTTTTTGTTCTACTACCACTAATTTAATATTTATTTACAACTACCACTAATTTAATATTTGTTTACAACTGCCACTAATTTAATATGTATTTGTTTATTCCACTACAATTAATGAATTAGAATTTTTTTTCTTTGTTTTTAAATCATGCTTAAAAAAATTTAATATTAACCTATGTAAAACCAAAGATTATAGTTTTTTCTTCTTAAAGTTTAAACATGACACCATCTTGTGAAAAAGAATTAAAAATTTAAATTTGTTTTTAAAACTATTCGAGAAAATATCTAAAACATTTTCACAAAGTTTCTAAAATTTTGAATAAGTCATTGAGAAAAAAAATGTTTCAGGAATAACTTAAGCAAAAATAACTTTATTAATAAAAACTAAAAAAGTTTAATATTAAAGAATTTTAATATCTATTAGAAAACAACATTACAACTATCTACAGGTTGTCTCAGTTAAGCGTTTCAGAACTTCTAAGAGGGGTAGGGGGCATCCTGACGACTCGAAATCATATAGCAATGTGGGGTCGGAAATGCTGTCCTGAAGCGGTGACGTACACAGAAGCACCATAAAGGAAAGAAACCGTAAATGAAAAATCGCTTTAATAATACATTGAAAAAATTATATGGCCTTCTCGGTGTGGTATTGCTTTTATGATGTTTTGTTACTTTTATATATATGTGGTATTGCTTTTNTATGCCTGGAGTATTGCAGAATGTTCGAATGTCCGTGCGCCGGAGATGTGAGGTGTACATTGTAGCCGGTGGCAGAAACTTTGAACACTTACTTTGGCCCATGTACCATATATTTTTTTCAATGTATTATTAAAGCGATTTTTTACTTACGGTCTCTTTCCTTTATGGTGCTTCTGTGTATGTCACCGCTTCAGGAAAGCATTTCCGACCCCACATTGCTATATGATTTCGAGTCGTCAGGATGCCCCCTACCCCTCTTAGAAGTTCTGAAACGCTTAACTGAGACACCCTGTATAAGAAAGCAATTTAAATGGCTCTGGAAATTTCCCCAATCCGGATATTTCCCCTATATATACAGGAAATTTCCCCTATATATATATTTTTATTTTCCAGTGAATGAAAAAGAAAGTAATTTACCTTTAAAACTCGCAAAACTCTGTCTTGACAAGCAAGGATGGGAACTATGGTACCAACTTTGTCCATATCAAGGCATATCATATCATTTATATTGTCTACTGACAAGTAATAGCTTTGATCTTGGCATTCATAGTAGTGGTTATAGATAAAATTACCACATACAAATAAATCATTTCCACTGATATGCCTGAAACATAAATTGACTTGAGATAGATTCGATGCAAAATAAATTAGGAGCTATTTTAGAGGGCCATGCACTATAAGTGACTTTAAAAAAATTTTTGCATGGCACATACACTCATCTAAAAATCTTTTCTTTTTTCAAAATTTTAAATCCTTTTTCTTTTTAACTTTTTGGTTAGAAATTTTCCTTGGCCTATCAAAAGGAAATACTGAGAGACGATTTTGGGAAGAAAAAAAAATATGCTTTAATTTTTTAGAAAAAAATAAGTTGCGTCATAGACTGACAGTGCAATGGATAACAAATTCAAGAACTGACAAATCTGTAAGTCAGAAATAAGCCAATTTTCAAATGCGTGTACTTACTTCCGAGAATCAGGCACTGCACTGAATGTCTATGTTTAAGGCTTTTGTTAGACATTTTCAGGAGTTTCATTCAAAAATCAATCTTTCAATGTTTATCACCTAAAGAATGATTTACGAATGAAAGATATAAAAACGCCTAACTGATATGTAAATGAATATAAAGTTTGAGTTTATCATTTATTAAATAAAAATTATATAAAAAAATTCTTTAATGACGCATGATGAAAACTTCATTTATTACATTTTTTTTTTTTTAAATAAAGTAAATTTGGTGAAAATATTAAGAGTTAGAATATTCATATCTGTGAATTCTAATCTCAGAATATATGAATCTGCAAGTAAGGAAAATTTTGCTTTTAAAAATACTATTTGAAATAGATAAAAACTTATTCTATCCATACAATAAATACAAAATATACTATAGATTTCTCCCTTAAATTACTGTCAATTTAAACTTCTAGAAAATATTTTGAAAGTTTAAACCGCTCAATGATTTTGAATAAATAATTTTATGAAAAATTATCTATATATCTGATAAAATTTTTTATAAGGATTAATTTTTTTAATATCATAATTTTTAAGAATTTCATATTAAGATCATTTAAGTTGTGTTAAGTGGTTACAGAAATAAGATATAAATACTATTCTTGAAATAAAACCATATACTATAACATTTTAGGTAACTAAATAAAACAAACTAAAAAAAATAATAATAATAACATGCAAAAATAAAATTGCTCCACAAGTTTTTTAGACATTTTTCTTTTCTTTTTCATACCCTTTTCATCAATTTAGCAAAAAAATGAAAAATAAGCAAGATGGATGATACCTAAGCAACAGGCTTATACACTATCACTCAATTATTTCAATATAACCACATTTTTTTTTTTTTTTTTTTTTTTTTTTTTTTTTTTTTTTTTTTTTTNTTTTTTTTTTTTTGCGCTTTGTTTTTTCAGTTCTTCCATAAAATTGACAAATTGATAAAATCTTCACTGAATATATAAATTTATTCAATCAAGAACGCATATTTCCTTCCATAATTTAAAACACAACAGAATTTTGAATAAAACCTTTTCTTAACCAAGATTACCCTCTTTAATAGCGCTCGCATCCCCTCACACTCAGAGCATTTAATTTATTAGCTTTGATCAAACTTTTGAATTTTTTTAATATTATTCAAATATCACCGCCCACACATGATTTCCGTTTGTAATATTTATATTTATGATGCTATTAATCGAAATTATTCACTTAATATTATGTCTATTTTGCATTATACAATGCAATCTTCAAAACTCTGCTCCTAAACATTCGTTTATAAACCGATAAGATATTTTTACTTTTTTAAGGCCCTTTGACCCTAACATACGAAATATTTTTAGCCTTTTTATTTTATATTTAATAATACAGAAATGAGAGGAAACAGTATGATAGTAACAGCTATTTTAGCATTTCCATTGAAATATCTTATTTTGCATGCGTTTGATGATTAAATTTTTCTAAGTGGAATTATTTTAAATTAATGACCAGTAATGTGTGTCTAAAAAACAGTATACTTTTTTCTTCATTGATGGGCACTTGGGTCTGCTTCCCATTGACCTCAAAAATGCCAGATTTGCCACTCTCTTATCATTACCCAGTGGCCACCTGTGGCCAAGCTATGGCAGGGGAATAGCATCGCCCACATCATACAACAACAAACCCGTTTATAGGGCAGGTTGCATTCACACAATCACATAGAACACACAGAGAGAGAGAGAGAGAGAAAGTTACATCCATGCCTACGGTGGGATCCAAACCTACAACCACTGAACCGGTAGTCCAGTACAGTAACCACTAGACAAGTGATCGGCCAGGAAATTATTTTATCTTCAAAAAACTTCAGATATGGAACTAAGACATGCATACTTACATAGATTTGATTGCTTCAGTCATATTAGTATCAAACTTCAGAAACTGTTTTCCTTTGCGTGTATAACCCTTTACTTCTCCTCCTGCAGCAACAAATACTTTATCTCTTATAGTGCCAATTGCACCACCAAGTTCAAGTCTCATGATTTTAGGACCAGGTAAAGTTTTGAAAAATGTCTGGAAAATTTTAAAAAAATATTTTGGATCAGAAGGTGGAAGTTTTCTTCTAAGAAAATAGAAAATTTTGCAAAAGTTATCTAAGATTTAAACTCTACACCATACAAAATATTATCAAGATTCTTTGAAACTTATTGTAGTACAGTTAAACTTAGTATAGTTCACAGTACTTAGTGCAGTACAACTATTAAAATAAATAAACAATTCTGTTTTTCGTTTAAGTTTGCATTTTATTTCATATCATAAAAAATAGTTAGCTTTAAAAGATGAGAGGAGGTTTGTCTGTTTAAGATGCTTGTTTTTACTAAAATAACTTTTTTTTTCTAATTAAATTTTCAACTCTAAAAGTAAATCATTGATAGCATCCTCTTTAGTGATCCCTCACTGCAACATAAGGTAATAAGATGAGGTTATATTGTCTAAAAGAGCTCTCTAAACAAGAGCCCCACACAAATATTTTAAATACATTTTAATCTATTTATTTGTTTTGTAAACATTTTTGCTTCGATTTTTTTTATTTCGAGTTTCTTTATTTGACCTTTTTAGCATTTAGTGCATATGCAGAGATGCCAACTGCTCCAGACAAGCAAAAATAATTTAAAAAACGGTAAATAAATACAATTAAAACTTGAAAATATTTGACAAATTTTTTTTTACTTTTTTAAAAGATTAGCATGAATTAAATACAGCTAAGTGGCGAATTATATAAGTCTTCGAATTATTTAGAAATATTGGTGGATAAAAATCTACTAAATTAAATTTATTAAACCAAAAATCACAATTAATAAACTACCACTCGAAAATATTACTTCGCTGTCCGGAGCAAGTTGGCATCTCTGCATATGTCTACCCAGTTGCTGGGAGACGTTTTGGTCCCTCCTAAAGTTTTTCTTTAAAACCAAATCAATGGAAAAAATTCCATGCCACCCAAAAGTGGTCGCTACATAGAGGTGGTCTTTCCTGGAAGTTTCACTGTACTTATATTCCTCTCAGCTGTGATGCAAAAATTGCTCAATTATACATAAAGTAGGAAAACATATTATAAATAGTTGGAACAGTGTCAAGCTGTATACTTTCACAATTGCAATTAATCACCAAGATCATGTGATTTCATGATCGAGCAATAATTTTTCAGTTCAAGGTTTGGAACAAACATTCTTAGTTTTAAAGATATTAAATAGCTGGATTAATAAATTTAACCCCTTTAGGACCGGCGGATGGAGGAAGAAGTGGTTCTCCAAACTCTGAGTCTATCTGCACTAAAAAATATGTACACATATTAATACGAGATGTAACATAAGAGTACCTTACAGATGAATCACAAAATAATACAAACATTTCTATACTTACTCCATGGGAACAATCTTTCTTTTATCAAAAAATATTTTACATGGCAAAACTGTTGGCACAATTTCATAGATAATGCCTGAAGCTTTCAGAAATGATGTTCTTTTTACCCATGCAAAATTCACATCAACCAAAATGAGCGTAGGAAGTTTAAAGCTTCTTTCCCTGTTTTAAACCCCCATAATTCTAACAGCATTCTTATATAAATATCACAATCCAATAGAATGATTTCAAAATAGCTGGTATTAAACTTAAAAGGAAGTTATTAACTTCCTCTCCTCCTTTTGGTTGATTTGAATTTCGGGTGGATCAAAATGACATTTCAAAAAGCTTCAAACAGTATCCTTTAAATTATGCTAACAGATTTACCATGCAAAATCTTCAAAACATTTTCTATTAAAATGAAGATTGTTTACATAGTTAGTTAAGTGTTTGCATTATTTTGTCACTCATCTGTATTGAGATCACATCCATTGATCTTGGATCTCCAGATTAAGACAGGCTCATTTCATAAGTGATATTGTGGGCAGTGAAAGGCGAATTAAACAACCACATATATCTGGACATAGTTACGAAGGGCTAAAGAAATAAAATTAATTTAGTTACACTATTAGTTTAATATGATTGAGTGATTTAAGGCAATTTCATTTTTGTAACAATTAGACTTGATTTTTCTTTGGAATAATTAATAATTTGGAGGTTCAGTTTTGAGTAAGCAATTAATGTTTTGGAAAAACTAAAGTTGAGTACAAAAATATGATTTCAAATTTGGTCAAAAGATTGTGATATTTAATCATTTAGAGTTTTCTTTTACTTTACCAATTCAAAAAAAAAAAAAGGTTAATAATGTAAATGAATTTAAGTCATGTGTTAAGTTTGTAACATTATAAAGAAATTTCAAAATAACTTTTTAAAAAATGTAAGCAAGTCTTATTATAAGATTTTAAGTTTGTTAACTATCATGTTTAATACCAATTCTACTTACATATTCATTTAAAATTGGATTTAAAAAAATACTTATTTTTTAATGCATAAAATTTATATTAATGCATATAATTTAAATAGAAGCCAAAAAAAATTTCCAAAATTCTATGAAAGTCAACTTCTATGTTATTTAGTTTTCAGTTATCTCACTTTACTATTATAAGGAAAATTATATAATTTTATGAAATGGTTATCTTCAAGAGGTTTAAAATTGCTGATGTAAACCTTAATTCAGCATTGTCCCAATAGGCAATCTACCTCTTACTTTACTTGTTATAGTATATTATTAAAAAAGCATCAGTGTTGGGTATGCCAGGCAGTGGCACTTAACCTTAAAAGAAACATCAGTATAGAGTAAAACAGCAATCATTCCCATTCTTAGATTAATTTAATTATTAAAAATAATTTTAAAAAAATCTCTTAAAATGTCCATTACACTCTTAGATTGCATATTGGAATATTACCCTTAATTCTCCATTGCTCAGATAAATATTTATAGAATAGAGATATAAATTTTCAGAGATTGCATTAGTTCTGTGGTATGATGAAGAGTGAGACTGTGAGTATAATAAAATGAGTAAGTATTCAGAGCATAAATTAGGTGATTTTTTTTTTACCTGAATATCACCTTTCTTAGTTCCAAAACAATGAACAACACCATAATGATCGGCTACAGCAACCTTAAATGAAAAGTAAAAATTTAAAATAACATTTTTTTTAATGAGACTATTTTTTAAAGTTATTAGTTTAGAAACTTCATTTAATAGGCTTTGATTAGTGTTATGAAAGTTTAATAAAAAATTAAACTGTTTAACATTCTAACTAAATTCAATTAAATAAAATAACTAAATTTGAATTTCAGTCTAAAAACTTAACATTTTTCTTCTTCCCTTTTTTTCTTTTCCTTAAGTTTTAAGTAATTTACAAGATCATCTAAATTCAAATAAAAACACACAAAATAATTTTTGTTCAATAATACATTTCTTAAATATAGTAGCTTTTCAAATGGTCAAGATATTATCAATCTTCTTAAAGAATAGGACCATTAAAAAATATTTGACTTTCAATATTCCAGATGACAAAAAAATTTATTATAATAATTACTAATATTGTTTATTAATAATTTTTAATAAAAAATTGAAATTTTCATTAATTTATTGCTAATAAAAAAATTTTCTCATTCCTTGATGCTTGTAGAATAGTTTATTAGGGGTAACAATATGAGATAAGAGTCACTGACGTTTATCTTTTATTGAAAAAGAGTTCAATGTTGTAACGATTTTGTATGAAACAAGTACAACAATAAAAGTATAATTGTTTATTGTTAGTTATAAACAAATTTCTCTGATTTGCCTGTATACTATTGTTTTTGTTATTTTAGAATGACTTATTTTATTATACATTCAGATATTATAATGTAACTAAAAGTAACAAAAGCAATGCCTGAACTATGAACTTAAAATTTTATATTCAAAAATATAACTTGGGAATGTTTAAAATAAATTCTATGTGTTTGGTCATGTTACTAAATTAGAATTCACATGTGTACTTGTGTATATGTCTTTGATGATATTTATCTAAGTTCAATAGACATTAATGAATGACAATAACACTAAAGAATGCACAATGATTAAACATAGCATGCTACAAGAAGCAAAACTGTAGTTACGCTTTTTCATAGTTTGTAGTGTAGAGTGCTATTTTTAAGTAGTTCTTAAGTAGTTTAGTGAGTAGTGAGATCCAAAAAAAATACAGTAGTTTCTAGCAATTTATGGCAACTGCTTTTAATGTTAGTTTAATTATGAAAAAAATATCAAACAACTATTTTTCTAACTTTGACTGGTACATATCTTCACGGGTCTCTATTCATTATTCTTTTGCATCATAAATAGCTTCGTAAAACACACATAATTTTATTAATTAAAATTTTTTTATACTTATTGTAATCTCATTAATTTTCAAGTCAATTACTTATTTTCAAGAAATTATTTGATATTTTATAAAGTCATTTCCCCATAAATATTATTAGCAATGAAGAAACGATGGCTTAAGCAATTCACATAAGAAACAATGGCTTGAGGTACAACAATATTCTAAAAATTTTAGATGCAATGTTTAAAAATCAAATATTCATACTCTTTGGCATCCCTTTTCTTCCATTGCAGGAAGCAGTCTGGTAGATTTTGGTGACGTTACACCAACCTGAAAAAAGCAAAGGTGCAATAACATATTTTTTCTAATAATAAAAGAAAAAAAATTTTTTTAACACAACAAAATGGTGAAATATTGAAGAGTTTTGATCATAAAAAATAAACGAAAAATTATCATAAAGAATAAAATATTAATAAATAGTTGAAAATGGCTTAATAATGTGGCATATATTATTAAATCCTTCCATTTTCGGTCTAACAAAATTAATAACTGTACATAGAACTAAATCAGTAAATATAACTTAATCAGTTTCTGAATCTCTTCAACTGTTAGATCTGTTCATAAATATCTGCTAGTTTGAATCATTATATGAAAGTTCAAAATAAAGTATTAATAACAAAATAATTTAAACAGTGAGCCTCAAGTCAGAAGTAAAGAATCATAAAAAAATTCATTGAATGTAAGGCTTGAATATAACCTCAAAATATTTAAAGCTACTTCCAATTTCAAAAATGCAAATATATAAGTATGATTCATAACAAATTAGGTAGAAGTAATTTAATATTATCATTGTTTTTATTTTTATTATAAAGCCATGTTCTATTTTTAAACTAACAACCCATCTATTATTTTAACAAGAATTTTAAAAATAAGTGCAATTTCAATATTACAGATTTTTGACATTTTAATTTGTGTGTGTGTATATTTTCTAGTAAAAGGTATCAAGATTTGATTACATATACCTGCACATATTTAACAAAATTCTTTTTTTTTAAAAAAGATGTCATTTTTTTTAACAATTAGAATTTTTTTCTTAATTGTAGAAAGGTTTTCTTTTTAATCTTTGCCAGGGAAAAAGATTGCATGGGTTATACTTCTTAATGCCAATCAAATATAAAATTGTTTAATTAGAATGGTCCTTTTGCATGCAAAAAAAAAAAATTATTGTCAATAGTAAAACCGGCTTTATGGCATTTCAAAATAAATACATACTATAAAAGAAAATTAGTTTTATTGACAAATATATCAATCGAAGGAAATGTTTATCAAAAATTATTTGAAATCAATTAGCACATTACTTGCAAATAATCTACACGATTCAAATTAATTTCCATCATTGTGCGTAGCTAAACAAGTTCTCCTTCTGAACAAGTAAAACTATAAATAAAAATATATTAAATATTTTAATAATATTGCAATAAATCAACATAATTTATATTTAAATCAACATAATTTATATCATGCACAGCTAAACAAGTTGTTCTTCTGAACAAGTGCAGTATAGAACCCGTTATCCGGAAATCAGAAAACCAAAAAACCGGAACGAAATTCAATAAATTTTCTCGCCATTTCTTAAAAAAAAAAAGTTTTTTCCTCATAAGATTTTACGATTTTTTCTTCTTTTTTTAAAGATGTTTACCTTACCATCATTTTGGAAATAATCATTAGTGTATTACTTCATCGTTTTTTCTTCTTTTTAAGATTATTTCCAAATTTTTTCTTTTTTTAGTTGGGTTTAACAATAAAAAAAACGGCAGATTCAGAAAACCGGAAAAATCAGTTATCCGGAATAGCGATGGTCCCGACCATTCCGGATAATCGGTTCCCTACTGTAAAACTATAAATTAAAAAATAAGAAATATTTTAATAATAATGCAATAAATCAACATACAATTTATATTCTTAACTACAATCAATAGAAATTTTAGAACTATGTACTATATTCTAAGTTCGAAAAAAAAATTCAAAGAAGATTTTCTTTAAAATCTTGCACCAAAATAATCACAAAGGAAAAGTGAAAACTGGACAAAAGCATTAAAAAAACTTAAGAAACTTTTGAAAAAAATCACACCAAACAATGGAGTAAACTTGAAAAAAAAATTCATGCCCACCTCTATATAACCCTTTGCATACAATTTACTAATCTATTAATTATAAGCACTAGGAAGTGCACTTGAATTGATCAGGATTTGATATGGAAATGTACCCTTTAAGATAAAGGTAATTATGGTAATTTGGAAAAGGTAATAAAGTTATTACCAAAGTACTTAATTTAGAAACCATATTTTATGTTAGCAGATCCAATACTGAGTTTACCACTATCAATGATCACCTCCCCAGCCTTGGAATTTTTAACTCAACCCAGAAGACAATGGAACTCCCGGATTCTAGTCTTCATGGAGGACTTTTTTGATGCAACTAACACATATTTGTGTAACATGGAAAGGAAAACCACCAAAACTTCCTATGGTCAGCCCGACATCAAAGGGATTCAAAACCATGATCCATTTACCACTGAGAATATTTAATGCCAGAAATTTCATATCAACTATCCTTCGCTGGGATTTGAACACTTTATTGGGAGGGAAGTGTTCTATACCAGGCGATTCTAGATATGTACTCTATTATTTCATAACCGTCGTTAAGCAACCATCAGAATTTTAAGTTTACAGCTACCAATGTTCAACTCCATAGCCTTGAAACTTTAAACCCAATCAGAAGTAAAGGGAACTCGTGAATCAAGAGTTGCGAGGAATTTGCTTTGTAGAGAACATTTTGATGGAACTAACCCTCGTTTGAGCTACATCAATAGAGAAATTACAAAAACCAAACTTGATTAGACTGATGGTGAAGTAACACAAACCCATGATCCATCTACCACACTTTCACATCATTGTGGTCGTGCCAGATGGATGCAGAATTCGTATTGACCAGCCATCGCTGGGATTCAAACTTGAGTCACCTCATTGGGAAGTGAACACTCTAGCTCGGTGCCACCACGGCTCCTAGGTACTATATTAGTGCCTAACCATAATAATACTAGTGGTGCGCAGTGAGACTTTCACTATTTGGCAAATATTTTTTAATTCGAAAACACAGAAGAAATTATTAAGTATTGCACCGTTATTTGAAATTTTTAAGAAAAGGTTTTTAAGAAAAAATTTACTGGCATAGCTTTAGGTATCCATTTCTCAATTCTTATACCTTTTATAACAAATCTAATTACCTGTGTGACATTGAAAAACCCATTTGTCAATCACTTGCATGGAACTTCTATTTCCCAATACAAATGAGCCAGTTTCATAAGAAATTGAGGGATATGAATTAGCTCAAACGATGCAAGAGTGAATAGGTAAATACAGTTTGGTTAGTTATATAGGTGAATGCTGCACAAAGAAAATAAAATAGTATAATTATACACTGAAGAAATTTATCGTAATTCTTAAATATGTAAAAAATTTCTCTAATTGAAAGACTGCATAAACAATACAAAGTTGAACATTTAACTTGTTGATAAAGCTGTTGAAATATTACAATACTTCATTACCAAAGCACTCTTATTATAACTGTGCAAAATTTGGAGGTAAGAACAAAGCTAAAAAAGTGACAAATTTATATGATTGAAGTAAACAAGAAAGTTAAATTTACTAAGTAATTATTCAGGAATGCATTTCAGTACCTACAATAACTACCTTGGAAAGAAAACAAGAATGAAAAGTATAAAGAACAAATAAGAAGCAAAAATATTTATTACTTCGATACATTATTTGTAAATCTCAATATTTATAGCAAAATCTAATGGATACCAAATTTAGATATTTTCTGATTGAAAACTGGTTATTCTGGATGTTTTTTTATGAAGGAACTCTGAAGAAATGTATATTTCCCCCAAAAAAAGTCCATCTTACAATACTTCATAGTTATTAACAACATAACAAACATAATACTACCTACTAGCATTAATAAACAAAAACGACTAAAGCATTAAACTTAAACATTACCGGAGATTTTTTTTCAATTTTTAATAAAATACAAATTGAATAAAAGTGACTTCACAATGAAATAGCTTTAATCAGATTTGTAACAACAAATTTCAAAATCATTCTGAAGAATTAATTCAAAGAGAGTGTTGTTATGTTGTCTTTTTTATTCTGTGGCATTCTGGGGAGAAATAGATCTATTGTTTGAAAGAGTTGTCATAGTAACTGATAACAACGTTGCCATTAGAAAGAACAATTTTTTCATTTAGAGAACTTGAATGTCTAAAACAAGCTACAAGCTAGAACTGTCTGACTTTTTAATAAAAAAGATCACGCTGTTTATCAATTTTAAATTTTGGTTCGCGTCGAGTTTTGTAAACAGTGCTTTTACAACTTTTATCCCTCTTTCTTTCATTCAATTCACTTGCCCATGAATTCTGTCTAAAAAGTAAAGAAAGGTTATAGATAAAATAAATTATTAACCTGTTGTTTTTTTAATTTTATTAGTTGCATAATGAGTGGGGAGACTGATGATGTTAGTGATCAAAGTGAAAATGTTTTTATTGATTTCACTCCTGTGTGCAGGTATGCTACTGCGTGTTATAGGAAAAATCCAGAACATTTTATGAAATTTCGCCATCCTCATTTGCCAGGAGATTCCGAAAATGTAGTAAGTTAAATTCTTTTGAAACCTCTTTTTCAGCAAAGATTTTCTTTAAGTATCTCTTCCTCCTGCAAAATAGCAACTCCAAGCATGAATATTTTAAGTTTTAAATTACGCCTGATTATAATTTTATAGAATCTTCGAGTTCCCTCAAAATTATAAAGTGCAAAAATATAGCTTTTGGAGAGTTCGTACTAGCTTGTCTATGAAAGAGAATGCTAAGACGGAGGCAATTTGCGCATTAAATGAAGGTGTTCGTTATTCCAGAGTCGTCCAATGTTATCTAAAGGTAGAGCTGTAGTGGTCAACAATTAACTAGAAAATGTTTACAATCGGTTTTATCTTTATTTATTTATTTTTTCATTTAAGAGAAAAATTTGAGAGTTTTTCTTTAATTGAATATTATGCTCTCTAAACAAATATTGATCTTGAGATCATGTTGCATGAACAGAGTTTTGCAGAATATAAGACTTTTCTTTTGCACAAGAACATCAAAAATATTTTGATAATATGTAATAATTATTCTACAGTTCTGCTGTTCTTAAAGATTGAAACTAATAATTAATAAATTCGTATTTATCTCTATCAGATAGTGTTCATAAACATTTTATGATATTTATAAATTACTAATTCGTTTTAATAATAGCTTTATTATTTTTTTTTATTAAATTTTAAAAAATGTTTCCTATTATCTGAGGCTTGAATTGCAGCTTTTGAATAAGTGGGAAACACTTTTTCTCACATGAAATTTTTTAATACTTTGTCAGCAAAAAGCACTGCAGTAATTCCCCCATTGAAGTTATTTGAGTGCATCTTATTCCTACTGGACTTTTTAGTTTAAAGAACTGTCAATTCCCTCCAGCACCAGCATTTCTTGCTGTGGGATCAGCTGACCCATCAAAATAGACATGGAACCACTCAGGAAGCAGCGATAAAAGTTCTTCAACTTACCGAAACAAGAAAGCAAGCTAGGTTTGTTTTAAAGTTGGAATATAATGGTTTGAACTCAATTTTTAGATTGCAACTTGATTGTCAAGCTCAAAATTCAATTTGGCAATGTTACTCATCCACAGGATAAAAGAAGTCACCATTTTACTATGAATTATGTGAGGTCTTATGCCTACAAATATTCCTCCAAACAAGCTGAATAATTTTAAATTATGCTATACTTTTTGAAATACTTTATATAATTGATGATATTGTGCCTGATGAATCCAACATTCACAAAAACTACATTGATGACTCTTATTATGATACACCAAACGGAAATAGAAATAACTTTAAGAAGCAATTGTTTTGATTTCTTTTATATTTTATTCATTTTAATATTATTGTTATTTCTTATTTTAAAAGAATTTTTTTAGAATATCCAAATCTCTGATCTGACTATAATTATTACATTTTCTTTTCTTTTACGTGCTAGATGCCTTCATTGGAAATTACCACATTTGGCAATATTTTGTAAGTTTTTATGAAAGAAAAATTTCCTAATTTGTTCGATCTTTGTTTTTAGGCTGTAAAAGAAATTGTAGATATGAAAATTGAGATTGGTCATGATGCTACATTAAAGACCACAACAAATTCTCAAGGGCATACTCATGATTGGACTGCATTTGTTCGTTGTACGAATCAAAGTGCAACTGGAATTTTTCTTGAAAAAGTAGAATTCATCTTTCCACAAATTTTAGCTCGTGCTCCTTTGGGTAAGTTGCATATTAACATAAATTAAAATAGATCAAGATGAGGGCATTTTGTATATTACTAAAGAATTTAAAGTGGGAAATAACTCAATACAACAACATAACTTGTTTCAACATTCTGTAGAAATATTTTGTTCTATTAGTCCATTGGTGCATAAGTTTCTACAACGTCCTGGTAGCCGATCGCCCATTCTGTCTTAGAAATTGTAGCTGACACCCAATATTTTAGTAAAATTTAACCTTTTCTTAAAATTCTGAAAATTGAATATGTTTAAAAAAGAGAAAAATTTTCTAAACATGTGATTTGATCAGAAAATCCTTTTTATCAGCTTTTTCTATCAACTCAAAGAATTCATCACTTGTACTAAATTTCATTTTTTAAATGTCTTATACAATTTATCCCACGATGATTAATTTTAATCTTAATTTTTTATAAATAATATGAATTATTAATTATCTTTATTTGCTTCATTAAAAGCAAAATGTTTTTATGCTGTTTTCTTTTTCATAACATGTTGGTTCCAAAGAATTTACTCTGCTTCCTAGAAGTTTTAAACTGCATTCATTGTTGGAAACATATTTCTTACCTTAGCTTCTAACCTTTTTATATTGGTTGTAGCTTCTAGAAGTTTGAAATTGGATCATGGAACATATTTTCTACCATAGCCCCTACATGTTTTATATATGTTGACTCTGAAAAATTGCTTCTGGTTCCTAAAAATTTTGAACAGCAATGTTGAACCTATTTCCTACCTTAGCTTATACCTGTTTCACAATATGTTGGCTTCAAAGAATCGGTTCTGGTTCCTTGAAGTTATGAACTCCAATGAAGAATATATCTCCTACTAAATCTCAAGCTATCTTAACTCTCAAAACCATAAAGATTAGTATTTTTTCTGTAAGGAATAAATTTTTTTCCAGCCCTATTTTGTTTTACCTTAAAATGTTACATTACGAGGTCTTGTGATGTTTTAACCCTATAAGTTTTAGTATAAACTTATTTAACCTGAAGGGTGCTGCTTTTATCATTGTTGCATTTTTGACACTATTGTGCACACTGTGGGCATTTTTCATTTTGGCCACCCTAATATTAATTTGAAATTATTTCATTCATTTTTAAGAATGACTTGAAAAATCAATTATACCCTACTCGACCTCCCAACCTCAATTCCTGACCCATCTGATGGGGCAACTTCAAAATTTTAAGTCAGTACCTCAATTTTTAATGCAGATCTAGATTCTCCAGAGAGAAAAGAAACTCTAATTTGACTAACAGGTTTTTCAATTTAGGATTACGGGTGGTGGTGTATTTACAAAAAGAAAAATGGGGTATAAATTGTTTAAAATAGAGATACCTTGAAAATGCATATTGAGTAATATATATATGTATACAGGTATAGGACAAAATAATAGGAACACCTGTGAAGTAAACGGTGAACACGCATCGCAAGGGTATGCGACCTAGTGGGGATGAAAGGAAAGGTATCAGTCTAGCATTTGCAGTGTGAGAGTTGCATGAGAAAAATTTGTTCCTAGCAAAGTGAGATCATGTCCGACCTCTCTGACCCTAAAAGAGGCACGGTAATCGGAGCTCCCCTCGCTGGAGCGTCCGTGTCGAGAACAGTGAACCTTGTGAGTGTTTCAAGGACTCTGTCAGCATACACAAAGTTGGGTAAGGTGTCTTTTGCGAATCACAACAGTGGCAGGAAGTCGAAGTTGTCAGACCGTGATAGATGGGTGTTAAAGAGGATAGTCTCTCAAAAATGCAAGACTACATAGCCGTTGATAATGTCTGATGTGAATACCCACTTTCAGAACCCCATATCCACGAAAACTATTTAACGGGAGTTGCATGCTGCTAACATTCATGGCAGAGTAGCTATTCCAAAACCGTTAGTTTCAGCGGGGAATGCTTTGAAGAGACTGCAGTGATGCCAAGACCACCTAAAATGGACACAACTGCAATGGGAACTAGTCATCTGGTCTGATGAATCCTCTTATACACTTTTCCAGACCACCGGATGTGTGTTCATGTGGCAAACGCCCAGCACAAGCATTTCATGTTGCCTGCCTGGTTCCAACCGTAAAACATGGAGGTGGTTCTGTGATGGTGTTGAGCGCTATATCTGGCCCGTGGATTGGGGCCTCTTGTCGTCTTGAGGGGGTGGTCAAAAGTGACCATTACCAAAGTATTCTCGCAGTTCATCTTCACCCTATGCTTCTAACTCTCTTTCCGGGAGAGCGTCCTGCATTCCAAGATGACAACGCCCCTGTTCACACGTTTCACTGTGTTCAAGCATGGTTAAATTAGCATAATGATGAAGTGGGACATTTAACGTGGTGTCCTCAGTCTCCTGATCTCAATATCATTGAGCCTTTGTGGGGTTTTTTAGAGAAAAAGTCTGTGCTAGAATTCCTCCTCCACGCACACTCTCTGAACTCGAGACTGCCCTGCAAGAGGAATGACTGCAAATTCCAATNTATGAAAGTTTATGATAAAATTTAAGAGGTAAAAAAAAATGCTTTCAATTCAAGTAAAAATAAATGAAAACTTTGAATTTGAATAGCTAGTTTCGCATTTGGATAATTCATACTACAAATATAATAAAAAGTAGTGAAAAATTCAAAGACTATAATGCCGGTGATAACATCCGAGATGAATACCCACCTTTAGAACCCTGTATCCATGAAAACTATTCATGCTGCTAACATTCATGGCAGAGTAGCTATTCCAAAACCGTTTGTTTCAGCGGGGAAGGCTTTGAATAGACTGCAGTCATGCCAAGACCACCTAAAATGGACACAACTGCAATGGGAACTAGTCATCTGGTCTGATGAATCCTCTTTTACACTTTTCCAGATCACCAGACGTGTGTTCATGTGGCGAACGCCCAACACAAGCATTTCATGTTGCCTGCCTGGTTCCAACCGTGAAACATGGAGGTGGTTCTGTGATGGTGTTGAGCACTATATCTGGCCCGGGGATTGGGGCCTCTTGTTGTCTTCCGGGGGTGGTCAGAAGTGACCATTACCAAAGTATTCTCGCAGATCATCTTCACCCTATGCGTCATACTCTCTTTCCGGGAGAATGTCCTGCGTTCCAAGATGACAACGCCCCTGTTCACACATTTCACTGTGTTCAAGCATGGTTAAATGAGCATAATGGTGAAGTGGGACATTTAACGTGGTGTCCTCAGTCTCCTGATCTCAATATCATTGAGCCTTTGTGGGGTTTTTTAGAGAAAAAAGTCTGTGCTAGGTTTCCTCCTCCACGCACACTCTCTGACTGCCCTGCAAGAGGAATGGCTGCAAATTCCGATTAACTTTTTTTCAAGACCTTTATTTGTCAATCTCGCGTCGAATGCAAGCTGTCATTCAGGTCAAAGGTGGCCAGCGTACAAGTAGACAGCTTTGCGTTCATCTACTGGTCATTGTCATATCTCTATCGTTGAGGGTTAATATGATCTCTTTATTCGAATTTTTAATCTTCTAAAATTTTTGAACAGTTTAGTTTTTTGCTGAATTTATAATTTGAATGTTGATTATTAATAAATAATAAATGTAGTATTATTAAATACTAGTGGGCTGTGCCCGCCTTATATGGTTTACTTCACAAACCAAGCTCGCTTCCCTCGCTACTAACTTAGGTACATTGCAAATGAACAAAATTCTAAGAATTCAAAACAATCATTCAAATCCATATAACAACTTTTCTTTTTAAAAAATTTACATCTTTTTAGTAAATACTAAGTCATTAAAATAAATTTGAATTCAAATAAATTACACGTAATTCGTTAAACCTATTAGAAATGTGCTATAGTATAAAATCTTAAGATAAAATTTCTAAAACTGATATCTCTTTAAAAAGGTTAATATTTTGGCTATAATTAAGTCTATTAAAATGACAGCACGTTGTCTATGCATTCTTACACCACTATGTCTTTCATAGCTATCATCTATGCTCTCTTCCAATCTTCGAGCACGCTTCTTTTGATTATACTTCAAAAGCATAGCAGCACGATTGAGACTCATTTTTCATTGAACAACTAATAACAATAATAAAACAAATAAATTTGTGGTATAAATAAAAAATCATGAAATAAATTCGTAATATATAAATTCGTGAAAGTATCGACAAAGACTACTTACTTCTGCCTGACTTACATTTGGTGAGTATGCTCTCTCTGGTTATTTCGGTTTCCGTTTTTAAAAGCGCTATATGTTGAGCCACCTCAGCTAGTTTTGGCATGTGACATTTTTAGCCGCAATCATTGGTCGATTTTCTAGCTTTGCCATTCGGGGAGTTTTTTTTGTCGCCGTAAGAGAAATATATATATAGATATATTGAAAGATACAAGGATAACTATTAAGGCCTCGAAATGTGTTTGGTGCCATTATAAATGTATTCTGAAAACTTTTCACTCAAATATTTAAAAAGATTTTATAGAATGCATGTTTCTCGTGTTAGTTAAATATTTTCATACTTATTAGGCACCCTATATATGTATATTTATATATTCCTTTTTTTTCAGTTGCGAATCAGCCTCCTTTTAGTGTTACTGACTCTGGGTCAAGATCCTTTGTAATGAATATTGATATTCATTTTAAGAGTTTTCCCGACCCCAAGAAGATACAAATAGATTATGATCTGTATTTAAAAGACAATGCTTCTTTCTCAAATGTGCATCAAGTGAAATTAACAATTCAAAACCCATCTCCTGCTTTTCGGCAGAGACTGCTGTTAGCTGGTGGTGTAAGTGTATTAGATTTCATTTGTGCCTATTATTATCAAATTTGTTATAATCTTAAGACAAGTTACAGCATTAAATTAGACAATTTTAAAAACATTTTCAGAAATGAATATTTAGATTTAAATACCCTAAAACGCATGATAGACATTAAAGCATTTAGCTTTCAAACTGAAAGAACTATTAAAATGTTTTCTTTTTTTTCTAAAATACCATCTTAGTGCCCTTGCAGAGTGCATTATCCCTCCATAGCAAAGTAACGTTTAAAGCAATCTTAGAAAAAGACTTGCCCATGTGTGTAATTGAAAGAGATCAGATATAATTAAAGAATTTTAAAAAGGCATAAAAATAAATAGGTATGAAGAAAGGTATAAAGAAATACAAATAAATGTATTCTTTAAACCGGCAGACAGATTATTTAAAGTACATCCGTCTGTAGACCAATATCTTCTTCTTCTTGGGCACTACAGCGTATGACAGGCCAAGGCCATCCGAATAAGTTTTTGCCATCTTGATCTATTCTGTGCCATGGCCTTACAGTTAGTTATTCCTATTATCTTTAGGTCTTTCTTAACAGCGTCCAGCCACCTAGTCAGTGGACAACCCCTTTTTCTTGTACATTCTGGTTTAAAAAAAGTTACTTTTTTTTGTGGGGTTTTGGTCATCAGATCTATAAGTAGATCAATATATGAACAACAAATTCTATCATCAACATTAAAGTAGATATATCATTATTTGCATATTTAGTTTAAAGGGCACAATATTTACACAAACTTTATCAATATCAGCAAATATACAAGTTTATTTTAATAACGTTCATAATTTTTCAACATGAAAGCCATTGACATTAACATTAGAGCACATTTTTGCATATTTTGCCATCGTAACACCAAGATCTACTGCTTAGCAAAGCTTGGAGTTTGATAGCATAAGTTGACCACTATGCAAACTAACCAACTAGGGGTTGACGCTTAGACTTAGAGGTTGGGCAACTCTAACAAGCAGGGCACATCGAACAGAGGTCTATTGTACCCAAACCCTAAATCATGATTAGCATGAAAGCCCTGTAGCTGAAATAAAATTCAGCAGACAACTTACAGGAACATATTGCAGTTCCCAGGCATTGACGCAATGCTGCCCTAAATGCTCAAATCTTTGCGCAGAATAGACCTCACGATCACAGAGTATGTGTCGTGATGTCTCTTCTTCAAGATGATAACCCCTGTGGCAGAATTTTTTCGGGCTTTCTGCCACAAACTTCCCTAGCATTAATAATACATTTTTCTTTAAGATACTTTTAATTATAACAATTACTGAATTAAAGTAACAGAAACGTTGTGTTTACAGAAGATAGTATAGAATAATAACGTATAGAAAATTTTAATTGTAAAAGTAATATTTCTTTTAATTCTAATATTATTGGCACTTTCTCTCATTTTGTAGCCTAATTACTTCCCCTTTCTAATTTTGTAAATCATTACAAAATTTAAAATTCATAAATAAATTAAGCGACGGTAAATTAAAACTTGTACATAAATTAAAATTCGTGTAGTAATTCCAAGATGAAGATAGACGACAAAATCACGCGAATGGGAGTAAAATGTTTCTGAAAAANGATACAATTTTATAAACAAAATTATCGTGTTTTAATTTTTTGTTAATATCTTTGAAATCTGTACACATTATAAAAAAAAGGAACGATTTTGAATGAGAAGCAAGTTCAGGCATTGGTGAGCAGAGACTTAGAGGTTGGGCAGCTCGGACGAGCAAGGCACATCGACCAGAGGTCTATTGTACCCAAACCCTAAATCATGATTAGCATGAACGCCCTACAGCTGAAATAAAATTCAGCAGACACCTTACAGGAACAACTTGCAGTTCCCAGGCATTGACGCAATGCTGCCCTAAATGCTCAAATCTTTGAGCAGAATAGACCTCACAATCACAGAGTATGTGTCGTGATGTCTCTTCTTTAAGGTGATAACCCCTGTGGCAAAATTTTTTCAGGCTTTCTGCAACAAACTTCCCTAGCATTAATAATAAATTTTTCTTTAAGATACTTTTAATTATAACAATTACTAAATTAAAGTAACAGAAACGTTGTGTTTACAGAAGATAGTATAGAATAAAAACGTATAGAAAATTTTAATTGTAAAAGTAATATTTTTTTAATTCTAATATTATTGGCACTTTCTCTCATTTTGTAGCCTAATTACTTCCCCTTTCTAATTTTGTAAATCATTACAAAATTTAAAATTCGTATATAAATTAAGCGACAGTAAATTAAAACTTGTACATAAATTAAAAATAGTAAAATTCGTGTAGTAATTCCAAGATAAAGATAGACGACAAAATCACGTGAATGGAACTCAAATCTCTCTGCAAAAACTCTGTAACGTTCTGCGACAATGTCGCCGTGACGCCGCAATTCTGCCACGGGGATGACAACCCCGACAAAGAGAATTGGATTCTATTCCCATTATGTATAGGTGTCTTCTGAGGATGCAGTGTCCATTAAGAAGACCAATGATTTTCCTTAAACTGTTTCTATTAAGCTTTAAAAGCTCTTTTTGACGTACACTGGAACAGTCACGATTTACCTCCTTAGCTTGTCTCTGACCGTCAGCAGGGCACCATTGCTCATGGGCAAGGGGTTGACGCTTAGTTGCCACTGATCTTCAGCTATGCAAACATATCCTAACAAACCACCTTTTTTTGGAAGAACATGGTTATTTAGAAGCTAAAAAATTTTAATAGGATTAAAGTATGAAAATAAAATTATTTTATTATTTATTTTGAATCAGTAGTAATACTTGGTAGGGGATGAGATCCCAGCATCATTTGCATGCAAGAGTTCTGTAATTTGATTCAAATTTATTATATGTGTGCACAAGATAGGTTGCAACAAACCTTTTATAATTTCTTACCTTAAATTATTTCTTCAATGTAACCATATTTGAATTAATTTTTTACATGTAAAATGTGAAGGCTTTTTGTATTGATAATGTGACTCTTTTATAACTTAGTTTACATTTTGTTTTCTATCTTTATTATCCAAGTTTTATTTCATTTTGGAGAGGGACTCCAGAATGTTAAATTCATGGCTGCCAGGTCTACTGGATTTACCAATACACTACTGAATTATGCCAATTTTTCCTGGTCTACTGGTTTAATAAAGATTCTCCTAGGCTTTGTGAATTTCAGATAGTTTCTTAAAATTATCCCTACTGAAATGCAATTTATTGCTTGCTTGAATATTTAAATAAGTATTACTATTACATAATGAAGTGAGCTTCATTTGTAGTAAACAGTTTCAAGCTTTTTTGTTCTAAAATTTTCAGTTAATATTAAGTCAGAATTTCTTTTTTTAAATTAATTAAAAAATGAATTACTTCTTAATTAATTAATTCAATGAATTGCTTCTCAACTACTATTTAAAATTATGAGTTAACATAATGAAAAACATTTCAAATTCAAGCTTATTTTATGTTAATAACAAATGGAAAATATTGCAGACTCTTTATAGTTATTAGTGTAATAAAGTTTTTGTATTTTGATGACAATAATCTCTAAAATTCCCTATATATAAAATATTTATTATATTGTGCAACTGCTATCAGGAAATTTATATTTATCCTTTTCATTTCCTGATTCCACTTATGTGAACCTTTGTTTCATAGCTTCTAAAAACATGCTAAAAGAATTTATAGTTGTTACTTTCACTGAAGCATTTAAAATTTTCTGGGGGGAAATGAAGCTAAATCCACGTGCTCGGACGCATAGGTAATTTTAAATGTTACATAATTTAGTTATCTTCAGTGGGTCGATAAATGAGTACCAAGCATGCTTGGGAGCTAAGCACTGGGGGTTTTGCATTCGGCTGACCACCTGACCCGAACATCTACTCCTGCACCCTAGACCCCAAGGTCAAGAAAACTGAGGTGGGCACAGTAGGCCTTGGCCCTCTATGGGCTGTCACGCCACTGAGTTTAGTAATTTAGTTATTTTTTAAAGAAAAATCTTTTTACTTGGTAGTTTTGTGATCTGTATGAATATTTTAAATTTATATTTCCTTCATATATAAAAATGATATTGTCCTGAGCAGGCCAGTCACGTATGTGTACTTAAATACGTATAGCAAAATTTGTGACATTGTAGTAGTCAAGTGAAATCTCATAGTATTGTGAGTATTTAATTTTATTTCTATTTAGTAATATTTTTATGTGCATTTTAATTACATGAAAAAATATAATTGTTTTACTTAATTAATTGTTTCATTAATGCATTCATTTAATAACTTTGACTTTTTGCGTTTTTTCCCATAATTTTGAAATTTTACCTCCAAGTATTGTTTTTTTATAATTAATGTTAGATTATTTTCATTAATTTTTTATTTTTCATGGTTTGCTTAGTTAAAATAGTTTTAAAATTGAGATTTAATACAGTATTGCATTATACTTAAATAAAACCTTGTATTCTTTTAAAATTTATTTCTTTTTTCTGTATAATTATTAAATCTATTCATCATTATATTTAAATAGATGACAATATAACGATATGCATGTTTGCACCTACTTTAGGTACAATTTGACATTTGAAATATTTATTATTTCTTACTTAGTTAAGACATGAGTTCCACGTATGTGTACCTAAAAATTTTAGCCCCTGACAGTATATTATCTATTTTTTTAATGTTATTATGACTTATGGCAGTAAAATAGAAATTCAGAACTGTAAAAAAAATAATTTTTTTTTTTTTTTTGCTATATTACTTTATACTTCAGTAGTGAAGACGTTATGTAAAATCAACTGGATTTTTTCCTATCCTATTTGCAGCTATGTAAATGTTTTCATTATCTATTACAGGGTGGTGATAGCAATGCTATCAAGTATTACTTTATTCACTACCTGTTATTAGTATTTATCTTTCATATCAGTCTTTTAGAAAACTGTTACGAAAGAATAAAAAGATTTTTTTGATGCTATTATTTGTAAAAACTCCCGCTGAATACAGGATATATTTAAGATGCTAATATTACTTATTTATTGCAGGTTATGGTTCAGGTTCCTGACAGCAGCATGTGGGATAATGTTAGACAGTCTTTACCGTCGACCAGTTTAACCAATAAGAGAAAAGTAGGAGATCAAACAACTGGTCAGTCGACAAACGATGAATGTGATGCTTTTGGTCATCTTTGTACCACAAAGTTACGAAAATTAGAATCCCTGTCTCCACCCCAAAAAACCCTTGCCGAAAAGCTGATATCTGAAGTTCTGTTTCATGCTGAGCAGAAGTCTCTTACAAATGAAAGCTGTGTTCATCTGACCAGTTCATCTTCAATAACTCCTACAGTTAATAATCACTCTTCACCATTGCGAACAGTTAAAATTGAGCCATTGGAAGCTACAGCTTCAAGTGTGTCTACTAATTATGACTTTTCTTCGTTGCCAGGCGATAGTCCTCGTCAGGCTATTAAATCAGAACCGAACTCTCCATCGTCGTCACAGATATCGGCTGTTAAATTAGAAGCTAATTCTCCCTCTTCTTCTACAGATATTGAGGAATGTGTTATATTGAAAACTATTAAATCTGAAAAGCCTGAAAATGAACCTTTAATTGTGGAAATTAAGGAAGAGATGATTTGAAATTGATTTTTATTAACTGTGTTAGCCTGAGCATCGCAAAATATCACATCATTCATTTTAATTTTTTATTTTGTACATAGTATGTTCCTAATATACATTTATTTGATTACTAATTTATATATACAATAGAAGATCTGTAATTAGCCTTAAATTAAAAATAATTATAAATAAAAGTAGGTGTAAACAATGAAAATTGCAGTTAGGATCTAAGCAAGAAGTATTAACTTTCTTTTGACATTATTTGTATAGTTATTTGCTGAGAGATTGAAGCTAAGCAAACCAATTTTTTTTTATTTATTTATTTATCAGTTCTAATGCTAATTAGTAAAATACTTAAATTTTCAAATCGTTTTTATAAATGCAGTATTTGCACTTGATAGGAAATTAATAATAATTAGGTAATAATAAGTGTTATTGAATATAATTAATAATTAGAAGTGTTATTTAAATTGTTTTCAAATCATTTTAAAAGGTTTTTTAAAATTGTTCTTTTAAATGGGTTTTAAATTGTTTTCATAGGTGACAGGCCTAAAGCAAATGATAGAAATTCAATAACAATTTAGACGTTTTAGTATCGGATTCGTTATTTTTATAAAAAAAAATAATATTTTTATGGGTGACAAACTATGTGCAAATTATAGAAAATTAGTAATAATCATGTCTTTTAAAATTGTAGTTTGACACAATTTTCTCATTTTAATCGAATTGTTTAGAACAAATTCAGCATAAATCATTGTAAGAGGCGGACTTATTTTAACATTAGTTATAATTATTTTCACTTGCAGTGTTTGCAGTTTAACTCAACAGGAAATGGCCAGACTATTAGCTTAACTTCAATTGTTTCGTTTCAGCCTATTTATGTTTTTTTTAAATAATATTACTTCTTACATTTTGTGATGTTTTGTCTCGGTCTGTAAATAATAAATCCTTAGCTGTAAATGCATTCACTCTCTAGACTCTTTATACAACTCTATGTGTTTCCTAGTAAATATACTGGATAATTATTTTTCAACTGAGGCAAAATCCTTGTATGAAATGATTAATAATCTTATTCTAAGATAAAGTATATATTGTTAAAATAAATTGTTATTGAAGTTGCTTTTAGCAGTGTATTATTTTACCTGATTTTTTAGAGTAAAAAAGTTTTTGAAAACTTAAATACAGTGAACTTTCAAGGGACCGAAATTTCGGTTAACTATAACCAGGAGTTCACTATATCCGTTACGCAGGCTATTTAACTAATGGTTCCCAAACTCCTCCCTTTTATTACACATTATTCAAATAAATGACTGAAAAATATTATGTAGTAGCAAAAATTTGTTATTTTTTTATTACTCGTCTTTCGTACAAAGAAAAATTAGTAATCTTTATCTGATGAGCAGTCCTCAACATCAGATATGGAAACACTTCCCCACTCTCAGATAATTTTTCCTGGATTTCTGTTATTCCGCTTTTTAAACCTGTCTAACCTGCCATTCGAGCACATAAAAGTAGTCTCATAAAATTGCTTAGCAAATTCATCGACATTTGTTCAGATACTGGAAGATTGCGGCTTTTTCGAATGCTAACCACTTCAGTAATGCTTCTTCAACATCCTTGTGATCTGCTTTTCTCAAATTTTTTCTGCCATCTAAATCTTTTTCATGAGCAGAAATTATTAATTGCCTATTTTTCCATATGTTACAAACTGCAGATTTGGATAGTTTTTCTTCCCTGCAAATATCAGCTGGATTGCATCCATTTTCAATTTTTCTGATTATGTCCATTTTATCATCAATGGAGAATGTTTACTGCTCTCCATAGTTAAATTTGAGACACTTGCTTGCAGGCTTTTTTTTTTTAAACTAAACTGAGAGCAAAAAGGAATTGAAATGAGGGCCTTATCAACACATAATATAGTCCAACCCTTTGAAGGAATAATGAATAATTACTCATTCCTTCTGACAGAAAATGCATATTGATCCCACTGACACCTTACAGGTGCATCATCTGCCTGAGTTGGAAACATCTGCTTGGTTTGTTTAGGGATGGGGAAGTGAGATAAAAGAAGCAGACAAGAAAAAATGCTTATCGCTACATTCCCCTCTATAGATGGTTTTAAAAATCGGTATATGTATTTATTTTGAAGTATAAATTTCAAAATTATTACAAAAAAAATCAATTGAAGACAGAAAAAAGTTCATTATATCCAACTTCCTCACTTTTTTTGGTTCACTATATCCACAAAAAATAACATTATACGTGTATAGCAAGGCACGGTACCGAACTTTTCGTTCACTATAGTAGGGTTTGACTGTATTTGCATCCACTCTCTAGACTCTATTTACAACTCTATGTGTTTCCTAGTAAATATACTGGATAATTATTTTTCAACTGAGGTAAAATCCTTGTATGAAATGCTTAATAATCTTATTCTAGGATAAGGTATATATTGTTAAAATATATTTTTATTGAAGTTGCTTTTATCAGTGTATTATTTTACCTGATTTTTTAGAGTAAAAAAGCTCTCTAAAACTTAAATATTTGCATCCACTTTCTAGACTCTATTTACAACTCTATGTGTTTACTAGTAAATAACTGAATAATTATTTTTCAACTGAGGCAGAATCCTTAATAATCTTATTCTAAGATGAGATATATGTTGTTAAAAAAATTGTTATTGAAGTTGCTTTTATCAGTGTATTATTTTACCTGATTTTTTAGAGTAAAAAAGTTCTCTAAAACTTAAATATTTGCATCCACTCTCTAGACTCTATTCACAACTCTATGTGTTTACTAGTAAATAACTGAATAATTATTTTTCATCTGAGGCAGAATCCTTAATAATCTTATTCTAAGATGAGATATATGTTGTTAAAAAAATTGTTATTGAAGTTGCTTTATCAGTGTATTATTTTACCTGATTTTTTACAGTAAAAAAGTAACTAAAAGATTTGAATAGTCCGTATGCATTTCGATTGGTTGGTTTACTTGTGTAGGCCAACTGACCATCTTTAATTTTAAGTCCTGTTATTATTATCTTAATTATGCAGAAAGCTAAGCAGATTTAGCAACAAAAAAAAGTCCCATTCATTTTATTTTCATTGTAAGTTATACATTTCAAAGAGTAAGTTTTTGAAAAATATATATTAAATCTACTACAGATACTGGTTAATTTATTTTACTTAATTCTTTAACTATCCAAGTTACACCAAACACTTTGATTGAAACAGAAGTTATCCAGATTCAACTAGCTATTCAAAAGATGTGTGTTATATCAAAGGTATTAAGAATGAAATATTTATATTTTGAAGAAAATTTTTATTCCTTTTCCTGAACTGTCTTTTATGTGCAGGTGTTGCTGGCTCGGTGTGAACAAACAAAAAATTGAATGAGTGTGTTAATTGTGTAAAATTAACCACCCAAAGCACGTAATTAAACAATGATTTATTATTAACTAAAACAAAGATATATCTGATCTATGGGCTGAGAAAATTGATTAAATCTAGGTTTCATTCTAAAAAAGACAAAGTTTTTAATTTACGAAACTCTTGTCAGAATGGTCCTGAGATATGCGTCGGAAGCTTGGACAATGACAAAACTGGAGGAAAATTGTATGGCAATATTTGAGAATAAGAATTTGTGGAGTATACTTAGTGGTGTAAATGGAAACCATAACTGGAGAATGAGATTTAACTTTGAACTGTACAAGATTTATAAACAACGTGAAATTATTAAAAATGAATTGGATGGATTGATTTGAAGGAGTGATGACAATGCAATGAAAAAGATATTGCTCTTTAGAGCCACGGAAGCAAGAAATCGGGAAAGGTCGAGGTTGAGATGGGCTGATTTGGTAGTCTGATTTTCCTGCGATTAATGAAAAGAATTGGAGATCATAGTTAAATCGGAAGTCGTTATAAAGAAATCTTCAAAGCAAGGCATCGGACTCTCTGGCCAACTGTGATGATGATGAAAACAATGATACAACCTATAAATAAGTACTGATTATTTTTTGTTATTCACTCGCAGATGTGTTTGGTTCCAATCTTGGCGGGAAAGTAACAAGGTTAACGCTAGACCACGCCAAGAGAGATGCCTATTTTGTGAAAAATGTTTAACATTTTATTTTTGGAAAAACTTTTACATGGGTGCATACTCACTCAAGAAAATTAAGAGACTATAGAATTTTTAAGTAGATTCAAATGTATTCAAAATGTTTGTGTGAGGTTCTTATTTAGATCTATTAGATTATACGATCTCTGAAAGATTTCTACAACCTCCTGTTGCAGTCAAAGGGCACTAAAGGCGATACTATATCAATCATTTATTTTTAGAGTTGAAAGTTAAATTAGGAAGAAAAAAAGTTATTTTAGAAAAAACAAGCATCTCTAATAAACCTCTTAACTTAACCTTAAACAAAAAACATAACTGCTTATTTATTTTAAATAGCTTTATCATTCATAATTGTAAATTTGTTTTTTCACCAATTATTATCAGTTGGGATCATTTTTATAGACGCTAAATTTTATTAATCGATCCGGTTTTCATGACGCCAACAGAAATGGCATTTCCGCACCAAGAAAATGACACTGACTAAAATTAAAATCGTTTGCGAAAAATCATGCACCTTCGATAACAATTTTGAAGTCAATGAAGATAACCTCTAAAAACGACCAACCTCCATCAGAGACCATTTTACTGTGGAACGGAGAGTGGTTGCTCCCAAGAGGTTTCGCTGTGTTATAGAGATGAACTGAAAGATTTTTCTAACGTTGATATTAATTAAGCCTTATTGCTAATTGCATTTTATAAAGAAAGAACTTTGTTTTACAATTTGGCTTCCATTTATCAAAATTTAAATTAATTGAGGGAAATTCTCCTTAATGTCCTGTGTAAAATGATTAAATAAAGGTGATCGAAGGACTTTTACTGTTAAAGTATTTTAAATATGAAAATTTATGATATAATGCATCTGATCTTTCTATTATTTGGTAAATTCTCCCTATTTTATGAAATTCTATCTTCTTAATTTCTGATTTTGGCAGGTGTGAAGTTTTCAAAAAGCGAGGAATTCTACTTATTATTTTATACCAATATTTCTAAGTTGTGTAACAGTTGACAAAAGAAAATATGAATTATTACAGAATACTTGTATTTTTTTTTTTTTTTTTTCGTGAAGACACTGCTCATTAAAAAGAGATTTTAAAATTTAATCCTTGGAAAATCACCCTGTATCTTTTTTTAAACAAGGCTTGAAATCGTAGTTCTAAAGACAGTAGTCAGACTAAAAATTTTATCTAATAAGTTATTCAGCTTTCATCACGATTTATGTATGTTAGTTGACAACAGGATAGAAATATAGCATTTTAAAAATGTTCAAATTATCTTGGAATAATAAATGATATGTTGGTAACATAGGTAAATGATATGTAAAATTTTGCTTGCCCTTTTTGACATTAATGAAAAATCTAAAAAAAATTCAACTGGATAGAAATATAGCATTTTAAAAATGTTCAAATTATCTTGGAATAATAAATGATATGTTGGTAACATAGGTATTTTATTTAAATTTTGCTATATGTAAATTTTGCTTGCCCTTTTTGACATTAATGAAAAATCTAAAAAAAATTAGTATGAAGACGGGGTTTTATGTGACAGAAATGAGAAAAGAATGTAGAGATTTAATCTAAGCACATTTATTGCAATATTAATAAAATTGAATTATTTTAAAGTTACAATGTTCCTAAAACCATGGATGATGTTTTCTACTCTAGGGAACGCTGCAAGCTCGGTGCCGCCTAAATTTCCGAGTTACTGTTTCCGTTGTATTTTAAAGCCATTTGGCATCATTGTGTTTTGAGATTCTTGGAAACAATGTATTTGATTACTTATTACTTGTGTTTACAATGCTAAAAGTGTTAATTCTAACGTAAGATGGTGCACAGCTTGCAACACGAACAAACAGTAATAAACAAATGGAAAGATGCCAAATCAAGACTGCCAAAAAAGCGAGTTATTCAAAATCTAGCAACCATGTCACCTTTTTTAACAATATATCTCTAAATAACTAAAACAAATTTTCACTTCAAACTCACCCGAATTACATAATAGCATAAA